TTATACAATTGTAGAAAATCGTAATCATTGAAACTACATAAAAATGGATACTTAATAGTTATTTATTTCAATAACATAGTCCACATTCCAGAGTCGTCAGTATCACGTAGGTATTTAGAAAAAAGAGAAACAGATATATATTTGATTGCTATTTATTTATACAAATATGTACAGGTATTACTGGAAGTCCCAGCGTTGGTAGTAGAAGCAGACCTGCACTGCGCGCAGACCGCGCTGACGCTGGTCCGCTGCGCCTGCATCAAGCTGCCCGCCGCGCTCACGCCCGAGGCGCGACACGCACTCACTCCCAATATACTGGCACTCGCCAAGTCGCCATTATTGCAAGGTATGTGCTGTGTAATTTGTCCAAATAAGACCTGCCTTAGCAACTTGAATGACGGGCTTGCGGACGGCGAGTACGGGTGGCTCGCTACAAGACCAGAACTAGACCCGAGCGTATGGCGCATCACAATCTGGGCGCGCCTCTAAGAGCAATCAGACCACTATAGATGGGGCCCAATAAGATTGATGCCGATACGGAGCCGTGAAGTACTACGGGTTGCCGGAGCTCCGGCTTGAAGTGCAGGAGTAGGAACGGGGTGGTTTTTTCTCAGTAAGAGTTTGACACTCCCTCTCGCGTCATCTGGGTGCTTACTCTTGAAACCAATCTCAATGTCAATGCAATTCAATCCAATAAAAACTCAATAATTATTCAATGTCAAAACTATAGAACTCCTATTGTAGCTGTTATAATAGCATTCAGAGTACCAAATATAAAGCCAAACTCAATACCATTTAGTTCATTAAATATTTACGCAATATGAATGCAATAGGCGCTAGTATTGCAACTCGAGAGTACGAAGTTTCACAATACCAATGTCGATCGATCGGAATTGGATTCAAGAGTAAGCCCACTGAACTAGACCCGAGCGTATGGCGCGTCGCAATCCAGGCGAGCCTCTAAGAGCAATCAGACCACCATAGATGGGGCCCAATAAGATTGATGCCGATACGGAGCCGTGAAGGAGTACGGGTTGCCGGGGCTCCGGCTTGAAGTGTAGGAGTAGGAACGGGGTGGTTTTTTCTCAGTAAGAGTTTGACACTCCCTCTCGCCTCATCTGGGCGGGAAAAGTCATTGGATTACTTTCCGCCCTCCAAAAAGCAACCTGAATGAAACTTGTGAAGGAGGCCTATTATAATATTATGATATTGGGTGTCGTCCAGGCGGTGCCCTGAAGGCGATGCTGGGCGTGCTGAGCGCGCTGGTGGCGGCGGACGTGGCGGGCTGCTCGCGCCGCGACCTGCTGGCGCTGCTCGTGGCGCCCGTACACAAGCTCACCGACCACACGGCCTCCACACACCACATCAAACAGGTGCGGACATACATTCCTTCAACAATAACTTTACTGCAAGGTTACTTACTTGACTGTTTCTCCGTATGAATCGATATTGACGCATAATTGGGTACTTGCCTTAAACAAAAATAAATTATTTCGACTGATCGATACAATAAAAATATTAAACAATAATCACACTTTCTTTAACTTAAACTTAATTTTAGTATTTTCCAGCAATTTTTTCAAGATATAAGTAACTTTTGATGCGGAATAAAACGTGACGTCACAAATACACAATCTCGTACAAAATTCATAGAAAACTGTCGAACTTCGAAAAAAGTATTGAATTTGACTAGTTGGCAAGTACTTAAGTAGTTATATATTTGCTTCTATATTTAGACAATCAAATTTCTTTGTTCTTTGGGTTCAACATAACGTCAACTTTATCTATGCATTGTGTTACAAGAAACTGCAAACACCGACGTCAATATTAATTAGTCCGTAATTAGCGAATGTGCAGTAAGTAGTATGTGTCTGGTGGCAGGCGTTCCACTCGCTGGCGAAGTGCGTGGCGGCGGTGGTGGCGGGCGGCGGGCCGGACGCGCTGGACGTGGTGCGCGGGTTCCTGCGCGACATCGCGCGCCCCGCCTCCGACGCGCACCACATGTTCGCGCTGCTCGCACTCGCCGAGATCGGACGCCACTTGTACGGACACTTACTTGCTCTTACCTTTTTTGAATAATAAAATAAAGTTGATGTTCTAAACTTAAATCAATAATAACATTTCTGATTATGAAAACATCTATATTTTATCTATTTTTGATACTAAACACCTAATCGTTCTAAAGGTGATAAATTATTTTGAAAAGCCACATAAAAGTAATCTTACACTTATCCTTTTATTAAGAAGTTTACAAGTCACACTTTCTTATCTTACAATTCACCATACCAAAAAACTATAAAGAATATAATTATAACAAAAATCTTATTACAGAGATTTAAGCTCCATACCGAATTTGAAGGAGGTGCTTCTAAGTTCGTTCACGCCTTCATCTGAAGAAGTGAAGTCGGCCGCTAGTTATGCGCTCGGTTCAGTAGCAGTGGGCAACCTGCCCGAGTTCCTACCATTCATACTGGGAGAGATCGAGGCACAACCCAAGAGGCAATACCTCTTGTTACACTCTTTGAGGGAGGTAAGAAAAATATCATAGTCTTAGTTAAGATGCAATGTTCGATTTTCTTTCTGAAGATATTATATCAATTAGGACTGACGACTTACCGACGAACAAAATATGTATATGGAGTTTAACACTACTTAATGTTCATCAACATGAGCCAGTCAATATTAGCTACGAAATGATTGTTTGTTTATAGATAATCTCATGTGAATCCTGTACTCCTGAGGGTGTCGAAGCTCTGAGGCCGTTTATCCCCGAGATCTGGGTGCAGCTCTCGAAACACTGTCAATGTGCAGAGGAAGGATCTCGCAATGTTGTGAGTATAATAAACTTTAACGTTAATGCATTGAATGTATGAATTTTTTGTTTTAATTTGACATTCAAGCCGCTCACTCTAATTCTGTAATGTTTAATTTTGTTTTATTTCATTTTTTTATTATTTCTTTTATTTACTAATGATCAAACGGTTCACAGGTCGCGGAATGTTTAGGCAAGTTATGTTTACTAGAGCCACAAGACTTATTACCACACCTGAAGGAGTTCCTCAAGTCGCCCGAGCCACTCACAAGGACAACTGCAGTCACAGCCGTCAAGTTCACGATATCAGACCAGGTTTGTGGCATTATCTTGGCTTTTTATCAAGTAAATAAATCAGCTATAAAATACTATCTAGTCTGTCTACCCAGCTGGTGTACTTTCTTATAAAATCAAATTTAAGGTTTAGGTATATTTTTCTAGTACTGTTGGTTCTTCTGCTTGTTGATGTTGTCTGAATTGATAGGAATTTACTATAGTGATAGGTTCTATTTAGGAGGAGCAAGCTTATTGCCAAACAACTTTTACTGACAATGGTGAAGTGAAAAATTCAGTCTCAATTCGGGGATGAATATTTTGGTCAAATCTAATATATTTGTTATATTGCAGCCTCAAGCGATCGACCCGTTGCTCCGCGGCTGTATGTCGGAGCTGCTGGTCCCGCTGCGCGACCCCGAGCTGGGCGTGCGGCGCGTGGCCCTGGTCGCCTTCAACTCGGCAGCACACAACAAGCCCTCGCTCATACGCGACCTACTGCCGCAAGTACTGCCCACCATCTACAGCGAGACTAAAGTTAAGGTACGTGCCATTGATGAAATGTACTTATTTATTTACCATTAGGTTAAGGTGCTTATATTAAATGTAATCCCATTTATTTATGTTATGGATCCCATGTAATAGTCTGCGAGTCTTATTGCCATGCACCAGGTTCTAGTCGAGAATCAGCAAACTCAATTACAATTTACTGGTCCGAAAGTCGAACTCGAGATCGTGTACTCAGCAGTTATGGTTGTGGTATTCATATAGAATAATAAAAACATTTGTCGAATGTACATTCACGTTCCTGTCCTGAACAATCTTATTTTATTCCTACAGAAAGAACTAATCCGCGAGGTAGAAATGGGACCGTTCAAGCACTCAGTGGACGATGGGCTAGACTTGCGGAAGGCAGCGTTCGAGTGTATGTACACGTTGCTGGGGACGTGCCTCGACAGACTCGACGTGTTCGAGTTCCTGCGCCACGTGGAGGACGGGCTGCGCGACCACTACGACATCAAGATGCTCACCTACCTCATGTGCGCTAGATTGGCTCAGTTGTGCCCCGCTGTTGTTTTACAGAGTAAGTTTAACATAGATTTCTTTTTGTTTTTGGTATTTGGTGTCATTCAGATCTTAATTTCATTTATGGTATGGGGGTGATTGAGTACAATTCATCCCCCAATTTTAACCCGGAACGAGGATTGATCCAAACTGATTAGAAGTTACCCATCCAAACAACAAGATGAAATGTTTAGTTAAACAAATGTGTATTTTTGTATATTTAATTAATCATATTGTATTGTTTTCAGGGCTAGAAAGTTTAGTAGAACCCCTCAGAGCGACGTGCACAATGAAGGTAAAGGCTAACTCCGTCAAACAAGAATATGAGAAGCAAGATGAACTCAAGAGGTCCGCGCTCAGGGCAGCCGCGGCACTCCTACAGATACCAGAAGCTGGTAAGTGCCACTAAAATAGGAAATTGTTAAAGATTAAGACCAATAGCGATCAATTACTGTAAACACACAGGTATATGGGGGATATAAATGTGATTTTCTTATTACAGAAAAGAATCCTCACTTGATGGACTTCGTGACACAAATCAAGTCGTTCCCGGACCTGCAGCCTATCTTCGAGTCCATCCTGAAGGACTCGTCTGGCGGCGGCGGCGTGGACTCGAACCTCATGGACCAGAGCTAGCCGCCCACTAGTACTACGTCTCGCATCTACTCTCCCACGCTGCGACCAACACCTCGAGGTTCTACTTTATTTTGGTCTCTTTTGTTGTTTCGTTTTTGTAAGAATGCATATTATTTTCATTCATGTCAAATGTAAAAATGATTGAAATTGAATAGAAGTTTAGTTTAATACGATATTTTAATTTCGCTTTTTATTGAGCTAAAATAAGAGTAAGTTTAATTCAACAGCTTTATTATAAAGATACAAAGTACATAACTAAAACATTGCACTGGTGTCGCTCGTCGCCTTCTAGACGTTTATGTTGACGTCTGTAGGCGACTGCGCCCGGTGCTCACAAGGAAACTAAGGACGTAAGGAATTGGGTCTCGTCACAGTCGCGTTACTATAGCGTGACGGCGGCAATCAGACTTGCATAACTATCGATATCTGGGCTAAAGTTCTAATACGCTTTCAAAGTACTCAATAAATTTAATAGACAACTACTAGTCGCTGTTAGCAGTAGCGTTCTATCGATAGTTATACAGAATAATTTATTTTATTGATATGTATTGTGATATTACAAGCTATGTGGAAAAATCATAGGAAAATGGATAAATACACTATAATGAAGCGAAATCCTTATAGTATCAGTTATTTCCCTTTCCTCTTGGCTGCAGGCGTTGCGCTCGCTGGCCGCGGCACTTCGTTCTGTGGAATTAAAGAAAATTGTGAAAATGTGACTATAATTCACACAGCAACACCTATGAATACAGTATAAAAGGTTCTGTATAATGTACCGGTTTAGCAGGCGAGGCCCTAGCGAGAGTGGAGCTACTAGCGTTACGTAGTGGAGGCCGGGACGAGCTCGTCATACTACCCATCGCACTTGCCGGCCGCTCCGGACTTAGCTCTTTACTGAAATATAATAAATATATCATTCTTCTGCTGCAGTTGAAATGCTCATTTCAAACAAGGAATAATGGGTAATGTAAAAGATTATGCTGGTAATGGTAACAAACCTGTTGGTACGTGACATTGGTCCTTTTCTGCTGAACATATCGGACAGTCGACCTCGCAGGTCTCGCTTGCTGCCTGCTGTACTCATGTCCGAATCCGATCCCTGCTGATTGACATGGTAACATGGATTTATATGATAATTTTATGCAAATGGGATATCGCGAAATTGCGCGGATATACACTAATAATACAATAATAGTAATTCTATAAAATTGCTACCTAAGGACTAATAAAGGCGAAGTTTGTTGTAAATATAAATATGGATGTACTAGACATTTTAGGATTTCAATACATTTCTATTAACCCCGTGTTACTACATAGGGGTACAATATAACACGGAATTGCTAAAAGTGATCAGTATTCATTAATAGTGATTTGTTACCTGAGAAACAGTGCCAATTGGTCTGAACTCGACATGCTCCGTGCTGTCAACTTGGTCGTCAATAGAGCGAGACTTGGTTAGTTTCTTTAATTTGCCGAAAATGCTCTTCTTTTTCTTCTTTTCTGATGGAAGTACTTCGCTTTGAGCTGAGCCGCCGGATAACCGACTGAGAAATGAGAGAGACATTGAATTATTGTTAACTTATGTTATTACGGTACAGTAAATATTGTTGTCAAAAGTCTAAAAATATCGAAGTGGGAAAATATTACGAGTTAAGATGGGTGGTTTTTATTTAGCTCTCAAACGAAAACTGAAGAAGCCAACAAGACGAATGAAGAAAAAGGAGAGTAAAGATAGGAGCACTGAGAGTGTATTAAGTATAATTTATACCTGTCTAGACTAGCATCTCGTTGCATAGTGAACAGCCGGTTGTCGGCGTCTCCGTCCAATGACTGCATCGAAGACACGCTGCTCTCATCCACAGATTTCCATATTAGGCTCTGTTATATGAACAAAATTAAGACAATATTTTAACATTGGTGTGAATATTTACTAAAAAACAACTTCTAGGAGAGATATACTAAAATTCACAGGCATCACATAACGAAACTTACCTGATCCTTAGTAGTCTGTTCAAGAGAAATGGATCTCTTCTTGAGTGAAGGTGCACGAGATGGCGTGCGCGTAGCTGGTGAGACGGACAGTGTGTCGCGGGGCTCCGTTGACATCGCTCTGTTGACAAACAGAGAGTTCAGAAAACATATTATCAGTCTTTAAATAAAATCTATTATGTTTCTATTTTACAGCACATTTTTAGTGAAATTGGGCTTAGTGGTTTCTTAAGCTTCTGAGAAATATAAGCATAGATTCAGAGAGGGGAGTAGTTGAAGGTCAAATGTGAAATGTTCCCCTTGGATTCTTTCTCCAACGTCCTTGGACCTGCCCCTGCCAAAGTTCACTGTCAACAGTAAAAATAAAGTATTTTAAGTAGCTCACCTCCTGGCAGTGGCTTGATGTCGTCGTTGCCTCTCAGCGATGCGTGAGGCGCGCAGTTCATCAGTGAGTCGTCGCAGTCGCGCCGCAGTAGTAGCCGTGTCCACTGCACTCACACCGTTCTCAGGCGTCGCCGACCGAGACCGGGACTTTGATGACTGAAGAGAAATTGTTGATTTTACAATAGGTACATGGTAGGTACATGATTGTTGTAAAAAGACAGAAACGTGTTAATTTTAAATTAGTTTCGAAATTATTGAGCACCATTGCTGTTTTAAAGGCTTCCGCAAGGTCAAAAGTGACAAAGTAGTTCTTGACGTACCCTATTCCGTCTTGGTGGCGTAGGCGTCAGCAAGTTCTTCTCTGGTTTGACAGGAGTATGATTACGGAACAAATCAGGACTCTGCTTCATCAGGTCATCTATAGTTTCTAGAAGTTGCGTTATTATCCTGTCATCCTCCTGTAATATAATAATTAAAAACTGAATTCAAAAAACTAAAATGTTATCATATTGACAGAATTACACTGTTTTCTCACTGAAATTGCTGATAATAGTTATGGAACTTCAGACGGGGCACTGCAAGCGCTTTTTGACATTCTAAAGCCGGGTACACATTGGTGCAATGTAACATGTAATGCAACATGCAATGCAAGAATTTGACGTCCACATTGCTGCAATGTATCATGTAAAGTAACAGAATTCCCATAGTGTAGACGCCTTGCGCGCACGAACCGCGTCTACTACGCGCACGAACAGATTGTTGCAACTCTTGCGCGTAGCGACCCGAAATTTGTCGGTTTTTTCCCCGAACACAAAGAGGCGCGCAGTATGCGCGGAGCGTCAGTGTGGACAGGTTGTGTGGTGTGTACGGCTAGACGCGCGCGAACATGGAACAAGACGACGCTACTGCGGCGGAGTTCCTTTGCGTGTTCTTTTGCAGACTGAGCGATCCGTTCGCGCGCATCTCGGAAACAGATGTGAGTAGGTACATGCGCGGTTCGTGCGCACGTTGTGCGCGCCCCGCGTCTACACTGATGCAATGCTCGTTTCGTGTTGCATTGCATGTTGCGTTGCAGCAGTCTGTACCCGCCTTTAGAAGTAGCTAAGAGATTATAAATAGTGTTATGTAATCTTCCATAATAGCGTTTGGAATTAAAGAGATCTATGATAGAAAATAGATTCTTTGAGGAACATAGAATTTGAAATCTGGACTACTTGGTACTATTCTTAACGCAAAGATCATTATTTAAGGCTTTGGCTGCCAATAAAAAACTGTTGAAGGCAAATCCTCCGCTAATGTCGGTCACCGGTGACTGCCATGGTGTTTAACGTGTTAATTATGCCAAATGCTTACCTGCTGAGCACGTTTGAGTGAACCAACAAGAAGTTTGTTCTGGTCACGATCTCGGTCATGTCGTTCTTTATCGCGACGCAGCTTCTCATTTGCGGTACGTAACTTAGCGTGCGCGTCCCGGAGCTCCAGTAGATCACACTGCAGTTCTGTCACCTAAAGAAGAATAAAGAAATATTTATTCATTATAATCCATCGGTCATAGTAAAATGAACCTTATGCTTAAATTGAAATTAAGTAGATTTTGCTTTGTCAACGAATGTGATTTTTACCTATAAATATTTCACTGTTAGTTCTTACCTTCTTTTTAGCCTCTTCCGTCTCTTCTTCGGTAGTTCTCTTTAATTGTTCTATTCTTCTCTTCATGTCTAATCTCTCTTTCTCTCTTTCGCGTTCTATCTGAATATGGGAATTAAATGTTTAGAACTTGTTTCATAATTAATCGTTCAAGTAGATAAAATCCTTTCGGAGCCTTTGATGAAATCATTCTGATATATTATTCCTACTTTAGCTTCCGTCACATAGGTACATGCATCTGACCTTGCAAACCTTTTCCCCTTAATAATACTAATTCAGATATTGTTATATAAGTATAAAGATACCTCAAAGAGTGTCTGCCTCAAGTCCCTGGCGAGAGTGGAGGTCTCCTGCAGTAGCCGCTGCTGTTCATCGCGTTCCTTGTGCCACGCGAGTTCCATACGTGTCGCCAGACCTGCTACGCGCGCTCTGCCTGATGTCAGTAACCTTTCTTCTTCGTACTGTGTAGCAGAAACAGATTGAAGTGTGAAATATCTTTTCTCTTATGCTTTTGTTGAATTTTGTTTGCAATAGGATGCAGTTTGAATAATGGGGGACAAAAATGACCAAAATGGCTTTCGGCAGTTCTAGCATGACGTGTTATTTACCTCATTAAGCCTGGATTGCATTTCTGCGAAACGGACTTCAGCTGCGGATCGCTCGCTGATGAGCTCAGTGTTCAGTTTGGACGCCAGCAGTCTCGCTTCACAGAGCTCGTCCTCTAGGCACGCTGTCTGCTGCTCCAGTGTCGCGACTTTGTTACGATATTCCTCCTGAAAAATATTAGATTCGTGTTAATGTTTTTTATTGGTAAATTCCTTTGGGTTCTAAAATACGAAAAGACATCTAGGTCTGTCTTTTGAAACTTGGTACTCTGGCTTAGCTCTTGAACAATTGATCAACGAGGTAGGAAAACGTGGACCAAACTGATGACTAGACTACACTATTTGTACTTAAATTTCATTAAACTGTCAAACACCAAGCGGTCACCGGTGACCGCAACCTATTGTTCTATAATTGTGTCTACAAAACCGGTACTCGACGAGTTAAACTTACTTCATCAGTACTAGATATTGAATGTCTCGCTGTTCTAGCATTTTTGTCGCCGTTCTTCATTTCTGTCATCGTCTTTTGAGCAGCATCCAACATTTGTTTGTAGTTGTCTCTTTCACGCCTGAACCTTGACACCTGAAGATGAACACACGATGTGTTATTGGGAGATGAAAAGATCTTTGGCTCTTTCATAGTATGTATAATGATTCGAAGTGGTCCATGTACCTACAGTAAAAGACAATAAGTTTGCAAGGTATAGATTAGCAAGGGGGCATGATGTAGGTGATCTTGTACATGATCAAGTATTTTGTATTTTTGCTCACCTGGTTATGCAAAGACTTGAGTTCATCTCTCATGGTGTTCATCTGTCCCTCGTACCTAAGCTTCATTTCTGCCAACTCATTTTTCCTAGACACGTCAGCTTGTTCGAGCCTTGTGTTCAGAGATGACAGTTCTCGTTCTAATTCAGCATTCTCTGTCGTTAGAGTCCTCTGTACCTTGGAGACACGTTCGTAGTCTTCCAGTTTCTTTCTTGCTTCCTCCAACTAGAAAAATTTATTCAGAAATATAAGCGAAGAAATATAATTTTATAATATCTTCTATTCTGTCAAATTGTCCTTAAGAAGTCTAGCAATGAAAAAACAACTGTGTCATATATAGCTACAGTTGAAATTTCTAAACCATTGTACCATTTTAGCTATGTGTACATTTCTTTACCTCTTTCTTAGCTTGATCGTGATGGTGTTCCAAGACGTCTCGTTGGTCGTTGACGGTGCGTAGTTCTCGCTCTCGTTGCTCAAGCTTAGCGTTGAGTCGTGCGCGTTCGACCTCCCAGCCTCCACCACATAGACGGTCTTGTAGCGATGATATAGAGTTCTGTATAGACAAAATTATAATATTAGTTCTACTTAATGATAGTCTATTACGTCTGGACTGTATGTATATATATACTGATATGTATATGTATATGTTTATATACTGATATGTATATGTTTTTACTTTACCTACTGTTTTTCTCAGCAGGAGATAGGTTTCTAATGAAGCTTTATTCGAAGAAAAAACGTACCTGCAGTTCAGTCTTTTCTTTAGTCCACGCTGAAGATTGCGTATCATAGTTGTTTTGAAGAGTTTTGATTTCGGCCAACGCTGAAGCCAATTCTTTTTGGGCATGTATTAATTCACTGTAACAACATAAATGAAATTAATACCTAGTATAATATTATTAAGGGTTATGCTGAACAGTTTGTTCCTAAAGGTTTTATGTATATTGGTTTCATACGTACCCTTGCGCTTGCTCCTTTTCAACAGTGAGTCTTGCTTTAGTGACCACGTGTTCTTCTTCTAATATTTCGTATTTACCAGTCAATTCCTCATACTCCGCCTTCTCTACCGCAAGGGAGTGCTCCAATTCTGCAAAATCAATAAAAATATATTATTTATCAAGTTTTTAATCAAACGTTTTAACGTTAGTTGCAGTATTTTACGTACTTTTAACAGTTTCCTCGTATTCCTGTTTGAGATCAGATATCTTCTTGGCGCCTGCACCAGAAGATTGTTCTAGAACTTTTAGTTTACCTTTAAGTGTAGCCAATTCTGCTTCTTTGTTCTTGATATCTACATCGTGAGCCTTGCGCATGCGTTCCAGTTTCTTCCGTTCAGCCTATAAAATAGATTGACAAATATCAAGTCACTTGCTTGGTTTTTGAATCTGATTTAACATCAGACAGTTCGATTTAGTCTGTAGTTAATTGTACCTGCAAGTCAGTTTCAAGTTCCGAAGCTTTGCTCTCCCAGTAACTCGACTCCTTCTTCTCTGCTTGCAATTTGTTCTCATGCTCTTTCTTCTCACTCTCCAACTTCGATATACTGGATTTCAACTGAATCATCTCTGACTTTATTGCCGATAGTTCTTTCTCGGTACTTTCCAACTCTCTCTTAGCATTCGTTAATTCTTCTTGTTTCTCCTCTAATTCCTTGGTAGTTCTCTCCAGTTTGTCTTGCATCTGTGCCATTTCTACTGACGATATAGCTTCATCGTATTTCTGGTTAGAGGTGTCTCGTAATGCTTCTTCCTGCAATCGTAATTACGCTTTTATTATTTTACTTTTCTATAATTATACTTGTGCAGTGCATGTGGTTTAAAAATTCAACCGGGGTAACACTTGGGGCTAAACTATACTATAAGGCAGTGGGTGTCGCGAAAACATGCGTATATTCTAAATATCTCAAAATAAGCTTTTTATAGGCGGTATAACTATCTTGGAGTAAAAACGTGATAAAAGTTTGTTCAAAGGGGACATGCGTTGGTGCGTGCCTATCAAAAACTTCAACCAAATACCAGTTGTTTGATATGAATATCTTTGGCAGATATCGTAGATTCCAAATGAGTTATTTTGGATTCGTAATCAGATTTCATTTCCTTTAGTTCCGTTTCTAGTGTTATGAGTTTACTTTCAGTCTTTATTAGTTTTGATTGCATTTGATCTTTCTCGTTAGTGAAATCTACTGAGATGCGTCGTTGGCTGTTGGCTAGTACTTCTGCTTGTTCCTTTTCTTGAGAGAGCTATTTTCATAAGATGTGATTAGGAAAAGGATTAGATGAAACATTGAATTTGATCCGAGTTATCTCAAATTAAAGTCTGGTCTTCTTACCTCCTTTTCCAATTTCGCCACCTTGTCTTTGCGCAAAGCTAATTGCTTTTCAAACCGTTTGCATTTGTCCTCTGCTTCCTTGAATTTCTTTTCTAGGTCACCTATCTTTTTAGCCTTATCTCCAACCTAAAACCATTAGAATCTAGGCTTATGAAGATGCAAAGAGAAGAGTTACTAAGAAACTTATTTTTGGATTTCGTTTCCGAACACACTCTTGTGCGAGGCAAACAATATAAACGTAATTATACTGACCTCTTTGAGCAATTTTTGTTTATCCTGTTCTAATTTATTTACATTTTCTGCTTGTTTCTTCAACTTATCGATTTCTTTATCTTTAACGTCTATTTCATTTTTAAGTTCTTCTATTTTCTTCATACAGTCGGACATAGTGGTTTGTAGGGATGTTGCATTTTCTGAAACAACGCCAACGACATCAAATTTGATAGATACTTGGAACAAATTACTTAACAAAGTTGCTTCATCTTAAGGCACCAATTCTTTAAAAATTGGCCTAATGATTGATTTCTAATTTTTAAATTAATACTAAAATAAAGTTCAACTTTAACAATAATACTCACTTAGATCACTATTCAGTTTACTAACTTGTGCTTCTAAGCTCTTCTTTTCTTCTTGCAACGTTTTGATTTGTCCAGCTATACTGCTATTGTCTTTTTCTAAACTTTTTAATTTACCACTTATTTCAGTTTTGTCAGTTTCTAATTTTGTATTGAGATCCTTTAGTTTAGCAATTTCAGTTTGCAAACGATTCTTCTCGTTTGTAAATTCGGAATTATTTTTGGACAATTTGGATCTTATTTCTTCAATATCTTTCTCCATTTGAGCTCTGGTGTTGATTTCAGTTCCAGAGAGACCGGCGTTTTTCATTACAACATACATTTCCCCTGGAAGAAAAAGTTTATCACTTAGGGCATGGCTATAGACTATTTTGTATATTAATTATTATAAATTTAGGTAATTGTAAGTTACCAATTTCACTTTCCAAATCTTCAACCATCCTCTTCATTTGGAGTTTAGTCGTTAAATCTGTTGGTTTCTTTGGAACTCTCGGCCTGAATGATTTTATTGCATCTTCTTTTAGTACCTTCAATGAAACTTGTAACTGAGCTTTTTCTTTCTCGAGCTGTGAAAAAATAATGACATCAACACCTTTATAATTGAATATTGAAATTGTTTTTTAACACAAGTCTTATGCTTACCTTGCTAAAGTTTAATTTTAATTTATCCAACTCTTCTTGTTTCGCTTTTAATGCATCCGCGTCTTTTTTGTTGTTGATTTCTCCACCAAACCTGACCTTCTTCTCTGTCTTATCATCCTTATTATTTTCAAATTCTTTTAATTTGGCTAAAGCTTCTTTTAGTTCATTTTCTAGTTGCGTTATTTTTGCTGCATTCTGTTCTACTGATTTATCAGATTTCAAGGTTTTGGTGTTCTTCAGTAGTTGTAATTTTTTGTTTTCTAGCTGTAGTTTCTCATTGTCAGCTTCTAAACTCTGCGTTTTGGCGCGAAGTACATTTGCTTCTTGTTCTATCACTTGAAGTTGTCTCTTCAAATCGACATTTTGTTGGTCACCATCTAGTGATCTAAAATTTTCATGATGATGGTTATCATTATAATTACAGTTTATATAATGTTCTTCTGGAATTAAGGTACTTACTTGCTCTTAATAAGGGAAGCTTTTGGTTTTTTCGATAGGCTGAGTTCAGCATGCAGCCTCTCACAGTCCCTTTCTTTTTCAATAAGTTTCTTCCTTAGCTCGGCAATTTCATCTTCTAATACCTATAAGTTATTATTAAAAACGGAGTTAAATAAGTCTTAATTTTGTAATGAATCACAATATTCCATTAATTACGTACTTTTACTTTTTCTTCGGCCAAGTTATTACTCTTAGCATTCGTTGTCCGTCGAAGGGTAACGGTTGAATTATTCTTGGGCTGATTGGCAATTTTATCAGTAAGCTCTTTCACTTGTTTTTTCAACGAATCCTTTTCTTGTTCCATTTCTTCAACTTTTTTGCGTAAAACTGTTGTTTCCTGAAATTGATAGAGTTAAGAATAAGGTTTTGTTTAAAATAGAAAGAAATAATGTATATTGAACAAATGTATGAGCACCTGTTCATTGAGTTCGAGTAAGAGTCGTAACTCAGCTGGATCTTCCTCATCTGTTTTGGCATCTTTTTCATTAGTATCAACACTGAGCTTATTTGAAGGAGGTGTTGGAGACAGCTTCCGACCTACAAGTAATGCCGGTGTGTGTTATACATTAAATGCGTAAATATGTTCAGCTCAATAATACAAAGCTTGTAAAACACTTTAGTTATTAATTATGCAAAAGGTATCTTTGATGAAAATTAGTAATATTTAATGGTACTGAGTCATTGTTCCGAATACGGATGTTGAACAATGTAGTGGATAGAATTATAAACCCAAACATTGTAAAAGATTCAACAAGGTCTAATTCTGACTGGAGAAAATGGCTACCATCAATACGCCGTGTAACTCAAATACACTGACAAGCGTGTTAGTAAACATCAAGGAACAAAGGTCATGTTAGAAATTAATGGTTATGCAAGTAGTCAAGTACACAATGAACATGATGAATCACAACCGGGTTCTGATGAGCGGTGGATCTTGGAAGAGAGTTGTTAGAAAAACACAATCGATTTTTCACAATTCAAGTAAGTAGTTTGACGTACTTCTGGCCTTGGTAGCCATTTTCTTCAGCTGTAGAAGCAAGGACTCATTGTCGTCCTCGACCCGTGACGCAGTTTTACGTAAGTTATTTGCCTGTAAATATTCGTTAGTTAAAATTATTTAATATCTAATCTAAATTACTGTCAGAACCAAAACTGTTCAGGATACTGTTAAGGACAATATACAGGATGAAGAAAACCAACATGTAAAGTAGACAAACTGGGCATAAGTACCTATGTTTGGCATTCTTACTGCCAGCGGACTGAACAGTGATACGAAGGGCAAGGGGAAGGGAGAACGGGACTCTGGAGTTTTATCTGGAGTAAGAGGAGGACTTTCAGATTTATCTCTACTGAATATTTCATTGACTTCTAGCGTATCCATTAGGAGATCTCGCTCAAGCATTTTATCTTCATCATTAATTAAATCAGTCTCTGTGCTAGCGTCCACATACTCTTTGGAGTTATTGACGGCTTGTAGAGCTTTATGATCATAAAGCTTAGCCGCCGTCTGCACACTAGCATTTCTTAATTTCTGTTTATCAGTTTGCACAAAATTGTTCATTCTCATAAATTCAGTTTGCATATGTTTATTTTTCATAAACGCTACCTCTGTTTGCGTATACATTTCCAATATATCTATTGTACTTTGTACAATCGAATCAAGAGTAATCTTTTTAGTGTCTGTCATCACATCGTGTACTAAAATAGTATCCGTTTGGCAACCTTCGGAATAACTAGTAATGAGATCTTGTGGGGATTGAGTGACCTGGTTAACGCCAATAGACGATGGGCTACTATCGAGTGATGACAAACTCTTTTCTAAAGCTAGTTGCATCTCAAGTATTCTTTGGATGGTATTTGGTTCTAGCATTTCACTATCGGTGATGGGTTTTTGAGGTGAGTTTGGATCAGATTTGGGTGATTGTGGAATAAGTTGTGGACGAATCCTCTTGCCGACGACGCGTGGCCGATATCGACTAGCCTGTTTGAACATAATATTCCTTATTTTTAATTTCGCTAGAGAGGAACATATGGCTATGGAGAATAACAATGTGATATACAAATATATACGAATGTCGCGGTGTGAGTCAGACATGTGTTGGCAGTGTGCCAGCTGGCATCTGTCGAACGAGAGCTAATGCCCTAATGAATGCGTTGTTTTTCTAGTGGAACTAAATGATCGGAGAAATAAGTGGTTGTAATGGTATTTAACTGTTAACAAGAGATGAGTTATCGTTAACTGTAACTATTTGTGCACATGTTTATTGCATTCCAAGCTCGGCCGAGGTATCGGGTAAAGCGCAGGTATTCGTATAATATTATGATGTTGATGTTGCGTGTGCGGAGGTTACCGAGTTATTTGCGGTGTACCTAACGGGTTTGCGCACAGAAACATCCATCTTCCGAAATGGTAAGACGAACGTAACGTAATGGACGTTTGTATAAATATCACGTATCACAGAACAAAGCTAGACTATATGTTACAGTGAAAATTATTTTAGGACTAGATGTTTAGTAGATGGTACCTCTTCTTCTGCGTTCCTTAACTGTTCGCGGAGGTCAGCCTCGCGCTCCAGTGAGTCCTGCAGGTCTCGGAGGAGTTGAGCAGGGTCTTCTTGACTGCCACCACGGGTCAGTGATGACCGTGATACTTTCTGTACCCAGAAAGAAATCAGATATTACCTTCATTATAAAATACCTATGCAATTGGGTCAATGCAAAATTGGCCTATATTGATGGAATGGAATCTAAAGCATTATATTGGTTAGAAGTTTAAAGTACCCCGTCAGTAAGTTGGTTCTTTTTAAGGTTGGCGGGAGGAGTTCCGGAGGCTGCAGCAAGTTTCGCATTGGCCTCCGAGAGCTCCCTCTGCAACCTCAGCGCCACCTCAGTGGACCGCGCCACTTCCTGTTCCAACTCCTTGATGCGGTTCTCCCGTTGTAACCCATCTTGACCGCCCACTATCTGAAAAATAATTACATATATTGTAGAACAAAGAAAAGAGAAAGAGAAAAATACCGTATTACGTTTAGGGGCATTAACAGTTTTGGTATTTTAACATAACATAACACCACGCCTTTTATCCCCGAAGGGGTAGGTAGAAGTGTACATTATGCCACTGTACAGTGTAACACCCACTTTCACTATTTATGTTATGAGTCTCATGTAATAGAGGGTGAGCCTATTGCCATATACCGGGCACAATTTTTTTTTCCATGCTACTACTGTGAATTTTTTTGAAAAACCCAGTAAGACTTTGTCCGACCCGGGAATCGAAACTGAGACCCCTTGCTGCCGGGCAAGGCTGGCAAGGTAGGCAAGAGCAGCCACTGCCGAGTGGCAGGCAGTCTTTGGTATTTTAGTAGGTACTTAGATATTTTTGAAATCAAAACACCTCGATGGCAATTCTAAGCCTTTTGTCACTTTATTATAATGAAACTGAATGATGTTAGAAATTTAAGTTAGTCTTTTAAATAATAAATATTTTCTTATATCGATATTTTGATTTCTTAGTCTCCGCACTATGCGAGTGATATTCGTAGGTGCGCTTCGTGGAATAGGAAATTATTTATTTTAAATATTATATTTTAAGCGCACCTACAGGTGCGCTAAGTGGAATACGTTAGGTGCGCTTCGTCTGGGTGCACTTCGTTTAGGTGCGCTAAGTGGAATACCTCAAATGATCGAATGACTGCTCCCGCCTGGGTGAGGCGGGAGGGAGTGTCAGACTCTTACTGACTAAAAACCACCCCGTTCCTTCTCCTGCACATCGAGCCGGAGCCCCGGTTACCCGTTAGGTTCTCCGCGAATGATTGAATAGGCGGATATCTATTAAAACAGATTATACACTTGGCCACCTGGCAGGATGGCTCACGTCGGATACAATAAGATTTATAATCATAAATATTTACCTAAGTAATTTATTGACATTGTTCTAGCCAGTGATTTATGACATTATTTATTAGATCTATGTACGTAAACATTAAAATGAAGCCATAAATTTTACTTTGTTTCTGAACCCATTTATTTAGGTATGTTCTGGGCAATGTCCGTTTCGACAAATGTTTTAGAAGATCGTAAAAAAAATGTCAGTTAAACGATTGAAATAGACAAAGGGTCTCTGAATTTAAGTAATTTTGCCTAGAAAGAATCAGATAATTTTATCTACATTCATAACTATTTATCCGGCGTATTTAACCAGACGTGAAGACGTAACAAACAAACAAATTATTATAAAGTATCAAATTAGGTTACTCCAGGTATGACATACTAATTTTTGGGTTGATATACTGATATTTTTTAAATTTGCCGGGCTTTTTTAGTCTCTACTTTCGTTTGCCAGACTTTAGAACTCATAACCAGCCACGAGAACAATCGAAGATTGTTGATATGATATGAAGTTGATATGAAGCCACCTGTAGGTAAATACAAGTATGATCTAATTAGTAAGTAGTTACCTCTAAAAGTTTCTTCTCGTGTTCAGCTTTCTCCTGCTCCAGCTGATCAGCTTTCCTTTCAGTCTTTTTTAACTTAAACGATAAAACTCTACAATTCTTTATGGTCTGCTCTAGTTCCCTCCTGAGTGACGAATATTCATCTGCTTGGTCCTCCCTGAAATAGAAAAGGAATTAGATATGGGCGACTAGATGCTGTGTACCGTGTTGCGTTTTGATGTCCGCACGAAACAATGTATAGTGTCATACATGTTATATAAAATTGTTTGTATCATTAGAGAAAATCCTATAAAGTGTGAGGCAATATTTTCAAAAAGAAATAACAAGATACCAGACGTCATTAAGATGTTATTCTCAACGAAATGTTTATGACGCATCAAAAATAATAAATGCAAATCTATAGCGAAGCGAGATTTAACGCTTAGACTCAAGTGGTACAATGTAATAATCTAATAAAGAACGCAATTAATCTTTAATATGAACTTGAAAAAAAGTGCCAAGGTTAAATGATTGAGTGATGTGTAACAATATCAGCCAAAACTATTTTGGCTACAGTTCATTTACAATGGCACGTACAATGAACCCTGCTTTTTGTATTACGTGATACGTCTTCACCCGTGATGCTGGCTATAAAATTATCCAATAGTAACATAACATAACATAACATCACGCCTTTTATTCCCGAAGGGGTAGGCAGAGGTGCACATTATACCACTGTACAATGTAACACCCGCTTTACATTATTTATGTTATGAGCGCCATGTAACACGGGGTGAGCCTATTGCCACATACCGGGCTCAATTCCAGACTCCGTGCTACTACTGAGAATATTTAAAAACTCAGTAATACTTTGCCCGACCCGGGAATCGAACCCGCGACCCCTTGCCCGGCAGTCGCACTTACGACCACTCGGCCAACGAGGCAGATTATTATAAAATAGTATCTAATTAATATTAAAAACTTTATGCGCGTTATGAGTCAAGATAGTATTGCGAAGACGTCTACGAACGTTTTCCTGAAGTTATTGCACGTTGTCAGTGTCGTTGTCGGCTATGGGTCAGTTAAAATCAAAATACAAGGCTTTTTCCAGGTGGGAGAGTTATGTTTCGGCTCTACTGAAGTGATACTACGGCCTCACCTAAAACCAGCGTCAAGCGGCGGCGCTTGTGTTATATTTCGCCGTGTGAGTGAAGTTACCTGAATAATTCTCTCCCTATCCCCAATCCCCAAAAAGCCCACACACTTGTATAGTACTAGCTCTTCTCGTATTGTGGGTGGCCAGGGTGTGACGCCGATCGTTTGTCAACAGTTGATCCGTCTGACCGTCTGCCGCTTTATGCCAATAAAAACATTTCTTCAAGACCTCAAGGTTCTTAGGGTTCTCATACCTGAAGTTATCCTGCATCTCCTCAATCTCCTCTTCAAGATCGCGCAGTTCCTTCTTCATATCCTCGTTCTCGTCCATCAGCTCCTCGCACAGCGTCTCCGCAGCCAACAGCTTCGCACGGAGCTGTTCTATCTGACGAGTCTGTGCTTCTACTGAGGGACGAGACTGGAACAAAAGGAGAAGGATTTGAGAAAAGATATTTTATTTAAGGAGAATAGTGTTGGTACTTTTAATTAGTAGAAGTAAATCATCATAATAATCATCTCATCAATCATTATCAAATGGCTAATATTTATTCTATCTGCTTCGAGGTTTTATGAGGCTTCACTGTATTCTGGCAAGAGTATGGCAGAATACAGGGAAAGCTCACGTACGCTGCATAATCCTCCAAGGTTTCTTGCTGGGTCTTGCTCGCTAAAAGGACAGCTGAGATCTCCAACCTTCTGCTAAGATTATGACAAATGCCTTTAGAAGAAGACCTTTCTGCAGCTGTGGATGTAGACTAAAACAATTTCTTACCTCAAGTTCACTCTCTATTTCTCTGACTCGTAACGCGAGATGTTTCTTCTCGTCCTTCAGGTCCTCATTCTGTGACGTGAGCTCGTTCACCTTCTGCTGCAACTTCAGAACCTCTGAGGACCGTCCAGTAGTGTACTTGTTCACAGAGTCAATATTCGCGAGCCTCCGCAGTAAAATGTCACTCTTCTCCTTCTCCACTCGCTCGCAACGTTTCTTTAGTGTGTCCATTTCTTGTTTTAGACTCTCTATTTGTTCCTGAAATTAAATTATTGGTATTACAGCACGATAGACATATACCTTATAATTATGTTTTTTTTAAAGTAGGAACATAGAATAATGCTTTTCGTTTTTAAAGGGTTTAATAGATGTGAAATTGAGAATAATGTTTTATGATTTTTAAAGAGGTTGATAGATGTTGACTTTCAAGTAATAAGAACGAGTCTTATGTACCTCTATATACTGTTCGACAATACACAAGGCTCGATCATGTTACTGGACACCATTTTAGTCTACGCGCTATTAATCAATACTTATTTATTTATTTACACGAGTACCTATCTCAAAAACATATGTTGGACCAGAGAATTGGACAATATATTGTATGCTGGACGTTTGCAAATACTTGACATAGAGAGAAGAAGTGCAAATTAACCAAATTAGGGAGTTAAAAGTTCAAATTCACCTGATACTCCTTAACGTTAGCGTCGACGAGTGTGGTCTCGGTGGTGACAGTTCCAGCAGTGCTGGTGTCATCATCCGAATCATCCTTGTCTCGTGAAGGACCCCCTCTAACAGGAGGCTTGGAACTTGCTGACGAGTTTCGCGAATTTTTCACCTGAGCAAACCAAATAGGAGTTTGTTGTTCAATACAATAAGAACAAAAAAAATAGGGTCTTTTTTTAATTCTGCGTATAGGATCTATGTATGTAGAATGGAGCAGAACGCCTATTATTTTACAAGCCAGTTGAGATCCCGTATTTCGAATTGTATACGTAGGTACAGCAACATTGGATTGGATTTATAGCAAAACTGTGGTGTGCGTAAGTGCAAAAGTTAGTTTTTGGATTCCAAGGACAGTTATTTTAAAGCAATTCTTTATTAAGTTAACTAAGTAAAACTGCACGGCTAATTCGGTGGCTGGACAACTGGCTGCCGCACAATGTATCGCGGGTTCGATTCCTGCACAGAGCAACTCTTTGTGTAATCCACAGATTGTTGTTCCGGGTCTGGGTGGCATGTGTATGTGAACTTGTATGTTTGTAAACGTAGCCACGATACAAGAGAAAATCCTAGTATAGAGAAACGTTTTTTTTAATAAAAGGGAGAAATAAAGAAAAAGTTATTCAATGTCACCTGCATCATAAAGTTGACATCATCCTTGGTTGAACTTTTGTCTTCTTTGGGCCGCGCAGGCTTTTCTTCGTGGTACGTTTCTTTACTTCTGGATAAACTTCGTCTCTCTCTTTCTTTTTCTATACTTGATTCCTTTTCAAAACTATTTTGAGATTTAATTAACTGCATCTGTGAAGGAAAATTGACAGGGATAACACACACAATTTTTTAAATCACCCTATAGTTTAAAAAAGCTTAACAAACTAAAGCGTATGGAGCATTCGATTTTTGATTCGGCAATTAATTGTGTTACGAAACATTCGTCGAAACTGTTTTGCAATAGTAGTTTATTTTTAAATCGTATATTATGAAGTGGAATCGGATAATAGGTCATTTCCTCAATTAATTATAAAGCTAGCGCATTGCCAAGCACTAACTTTCATGGTGACCTTTTATGTTTATTTTGGGCGCCGTATCGCGTTTAGTTCGGGTTGAAAGCTACGAGTTACGGGCAGTAGCGGCAGACGGTTCTATAGCTGTGACCCACTTGTACTTCGCACGTCTATGAAACCAAGGTGAAGACAATACTCTTATTCAAACAAATTTCATAAATATTTGTAAAGTTAATATGTTGTTAGTTACGGCTTTATTCCAAACGCAGCCCGTAATTTTGAGATTATGCGTAAAATATTTTCAGCGCTATAAAAGCACGCCTTTTGTTTTTGATGTATTGGCATTGATTTTATGATATGGTTTTATGGGTTGTATACGGTTAAAATCGAACTTGTAAGTATGTTGGTCATCAAAATAGGTCAATAGGTCAAGGTTTTTAGAGTCGCGGTTTTACAGATGTCGGTGGAACAAAAGTGGTTCGACATATTATGTGATTTTTAAATAATATTTTATGGCAGTTTGGTGGTGTTGAGAATATTATAGATAGGTAAGAACCTTTCGCACGCGTTCAGCTAGCGAGTCGTTCTTGCTTATAGTAATTTGTGTCTGCGCCGGCGCAGGTACCGGCGGAGGCGATGGCGACGGTCGCCGCAATGTCACTGTATCTGGAAAATAAACAATATTTCAGTCGAAATTATGAAGTACAATTATGTAAATCAATAAGAGGTTACACATATTATGAGTAGGTACCTAGTTGGTCACCAAAACAAGAAAAAATTAAAGAGTAAATAATTGTTAAAATGATTGGGAAAAGATATTTTAATTATGTTTTATCCTAATTAAAGAAACCATTTATAAGAAAATTAGGAATTACCTGTAGTATGATTCTGCCCTGTATCTATTGATGGCAATGGTCCCGTTAGTCGTCTCTTGGGCAGCTTCAGACTGACGGTGACAGCGTTCGAACTCTCGGTCTCGTTGGCCCCCAGGTCCGGCGTCGACGTCCACGATGCACTGGTTCTTGTGAACCCTGGATATTCAGGGAATAAATTAACGTCAAGGAAGAAGTTGGATACTTATTTTTAGGCACATGCTTAGTTGTTGTACAGTCAGTAGGTATAGATACTCTAATTTGTTTTATAACGAACCAATGCAGTAAAGTGAAATGAATAGGATAAATAATAATTATTAATCATTTGGAGCTTATGGCCCACCAGTAGACCTCAAAAAGCTAATGATGACGAAAGATATGAATATTGTTAAGCTATATTTCACGAAATCTCTACGGGAGTTATGACTCAAACTATACAAATAGTTACATGTCTGTAATACCTTTCGGACAGATATCACTTTGTCTATATAAATATAGGTATCTGTTGGCTAAGAAACGTAGGACTCCCCCAAAGAATGCCAACTTTTCCGGTATGCGGGCAACCCATATGTGCACGCCTGTTGAGTGTTTCAGAGTATTCATAATCTTTAAAATGTTAGTGCTTCCTGCTTCCTGCATCTAATATCTTCTCAGACAAAGTTATCGAACATTTGATTTCTCACACACCTGTCTCTCGGTGTTCCATCTAGCATGTCCATATTCCATCTGCGAGATGGTCGCGGACAACCGATAAGAATGGTGAAGAATATAGGAAATCGGACCTTTTATATGTATTAACTCGTCGAGTACCGGTTTTGTAGACACAATTATAGAACAATAGGTTGCGGTCACCGGTGACCGCTTGGTGTTTGACAGTTTAAATTATCTAGTTAATGTTCTACAGTGGTATAATGTACACCTCTGCCTACCCCTTCGGGGATAAAAGGCGTGATGTGATGTTAATGTTATGTTAATCTAGTTCATAACATTAATTAGGAGATTTAGAAACCGCACTTTATTCTATTCCTTTTAACTAGTTCAAAGTTCAAACGTAATAATCATGAAACGGTACGAAAAATAAAACTAGAAATAATAAGTTGGCACCTATACAGTAAATAAATGAGAAATAAATTACGGCCTTATATTAAATCTAAGATTATTTCTGGATCATATTTTGTAGTGTTTACACAAAGCTAACGGAACATTCTATTGTTAGGTACATACATTTCCATTAGGTAGGAAGGTTGAAGTGCCTAAATGTCTTCATTTACCTCGGGTTTGGCGCCTAATATTGTAATTCCAGCTCTTAATAAATCTGGTGGGTTTATACACTGTACAAACATATTACTACCTACTTCTTTCAGCGAGGGGTTTCGGAATCGGTTCCCAGATTAAACAGTCTCGTGAGATTTTCGATATTTTCAGTAGTGTGGCAAATTACTATTTTTTTTATGGATAGTAGGCAAACGGAAAACGGATCACCTGATGATAAGCAATCATTGCCCATGAACACCCGCAACACCAGAGAAGTAACAGGTTTTAAAAAGGAGTACGCTCTGTCCTTGATGGTTTGAAGGTAGTACTGGTTCGGAAATACTGCCGACGACAGATCATTCCACTCTAGCAACAAGATCGTCCTAAACTGTTATAAAAATTACTTGGGACAGTCCAAATCAAAGAAAACGGGTGATTGATAGAAGTCCAAAGCCAAGAAATATAACAGAACACGGGGAAAGAACACAGCAATGAGTGATCTCGCACTGCAATTGGAATGATTAGATAATCTCCGGCTAACTTTTTGGGGGATAAAAAGTATCGTTAAGTTATTCCTATGCATGTATTGTTAAAAATGTATTAGGCAAAGTAAATGGATAAAATACAGAGCGACTATCAAATGTGAATGTATGGGCGAAGACGTTTAAATTAGGTACAATGTGTGAGTAATACAGGTGGTCGGTGGATCAAGGCAGTTTTGGCTCACGTTCGGAGTCTGGATTGATATAATAATATGTTTTTGTATAAATCAACCGAATTATCTATATCATAATAATAGACATATATTTTACAATAGAACAACAATTCGAAAAGACATAGGTAAGTGAAGCAGTCTATAGCAGTGACTGCAGAGATCAAAATACTCAGGTCATACGAATGTTAGAGGTAGTTTGAAAGGGGTCCGAGCTACAAGGCAACGTGTGTTTTCTATTCTAAAATTCTCAGTATATACTTCAGAGCCGTATTATCATCAAGGCAAACAGGGCAATGCCTAGTGTCTATTAGAGCGCCAGGTTGTAAGAGCGCCAGGAGAGCCGCGACGCTAGGAGACGCACGTGCTCATAGAGTAACGACGAGACAGTGGCGCTAAAAAATTAGGGCTAGCTGTGATGTTATTTAGGTTTTTTTAAGGGGAAAATCATCGAATGTCCTCTCCCGCCTGGGTGAGGCGGAAGGGAGTACTAGACTCTTACTGGCTAAAAACCACCCCGTTCCTACTCATGCACTTCGAGCCGCCCCCCCGGTAACCCGAGCGTTTCCTCCCGCCCTATCAGACACAGGTACCTCCCCCCGAAGCTCCCATGTCCGGTGAGGACCTGTGTCAGGCGGCAGGTGAGGTCACCGTAGCGTCTCTCCAGCCACTCCTCAAAGAGGGGACTTACCGCTGCAATGGCAGCGAGCCCAATGTTATCTAGGTTGAGGTTATCTTGTCTAGGGCGTTATCTAGGTTCATTCCACCTTCCATCTAGGTACATAACAGATAAACAGGCGTTTGTTTTAAATTTGCAATAACTTCACGGCGTCATTATATCCTCAACCCGAAGGTAACAAACCTTTGGTTAATAAGTTACCACGAAACTGTACAACGGGGGAGAATAATGATTTGTTAAATAAAAGTTAAAAGTTTTTCGAAGAAACATCCAATTACCAAAACTTCTGGATTCATTGTGATGCTACCGGTTGTAATATACTAACGGATATAAGTCAATCTTGGTAGGCTAACTGGTTTTCCGGGACGAAAAATGTTAAGTCTTGTTTATTTAAGTACCTATACAAAAATCTACAACTTCGTATGTGGTGGACAAATACGCTGGACAATAGATAATAACTACCGGTGTTTGGAAAGAAACTAACAATAAATCCGTCTATTATCTAGGTGCATGGAGAGGTCATCTGTCATACGTTGTTAGATGCGCTAGGCGTTAGTTAGCATTGAACACTACAATTTTGCCAGACATAGCTAATAGCTACTGCCTACCTATATGTACATTATCTAAATATGTTTTTTGCGCTCTATGGACATTCGTAATACTAACAAGTGGAAAGATCTTCATGTTTAATGATTTTGGTTAATTTTGTTTATCTAGGAATGTTATACTGTACTGAAAATGTAACGTAAAAAGGAACATTACATTTATAAGAAAAAATAATTACAAGTTTAAGTAAAAGTATTAAGTAAGGTAAGATTAAAGAACAATAACCCATAGAAAGACAATATGTCCTTCGTGGTCTATGTGAGGTCTCTAAACAAGTACATAGGTAATAGCAAATGACTTACCTGTGGAGAAGGCGTCTTTCTTGGGAGAGTCGATTGTGCTAAGGTTGCTACTGGATGCCCACCCTCGCCCCACCTTCTCCACTTCCGCGCCATTGTCTTCATCACGACTTCTGTCCACACAAGAATACAATATTTTTAAGTAAAATTGCAACTTAGCAATTCTTAGATTAGTTCCAGTTTCCATTGAAGACGTTTCGTATACATAATGATGAATATGGACTTCCAAGTACCTACCTACTTAAGGAAAGACATGTACTTATGTATACCTACTGTACAGTGTACAGAGATGTTAATTTACCTGACGTAATTTATTGTTTACAAGGGACTCATAATAAGTAACATTTCATTTAACTACCTAATATTATTACTTATCTGTACCTCTTGTCTTCGGAGATTAAAAGACGTGGTGAGTGAATGAGTGATACTTTTCTCAGGTGGCTTTCGACTAGTCAAATTCATACATACATACACATATAACCTTTTTTTTTTTTACTAATGGGTTTTTTTTTTTTTTTTAAGGGGGGAAAATCATCGAATGACTGGCCCCGCCTGGGTGAGGCGGGAGGGAGTGTCAGACTCTTACTGACTAAAAACCACCCCGTTCCTTCTCCTGCACGTCGAGCCGGAGCCCCGGTTACCCGTTAGGTTCTCCGCGACTCCGAATCGGCATCGGCCCTATTGGGCCCCATCTGTGGTGGTCTGATGGCTCTTTGAGGCGCGCGCGGAACGCGACGCGCCGTACGCTCGGGTCTGTTTCTGGTCGGACGGGGAGCCACCCATGCTCGCCGTCCGCAGGCCCGCGCTTACGGTGGCCGGAGATCGTCCCGCGATCCCCGACGCCCGGTGTGTCCTTCGCGATGGCTGGGTTGCGAGGAGGCAGCGCTTCGCTGCCTCACGCGTCCCGCCTCCTCCTTAGCTAGCATGACTGCTTCGCAAAAGGAGGAGACGGCATCCCAGTCCCCCTCGCTCCGCATCATGGCCTGCACTAGGCCCGGACGCGAGAGGCTACTAATGGGGTAGGCAGAGACTATGGACCGCCAATTGCTACAATTCTTACATACCTCTTTCTTCCATCAACAGTCATCAGTCTTTTATGCTCGTCGGAGTACTTTTAATTTGCCCTTCTTTAATATATCACAGACAGGCATCGGCAGGGCGCCCTCTCGACGGTCTCATTCATATCCGCTCTGTAAACTTCTTTCGTTACTCCACTTTCATCCATCCTTTCTACATGTCCAAACCAATGTTACATTCCCTTCTTAATTATTGTCACATCATATTTCAATCCACTATCATAGACAAATTCAGTACCTACTTATTTCAATATGTCAAGAAATATAGTCTTCTACGAATTTTGTGTGAAAATTGCATTTTCTGCCACATACAAGATCTCAAGTTTTAAATTAAATCATAACATCGCGTCTTTTATTCCCGAAGGGGTAGGTAAAGGTGTACATTATGCCACTGTACAACGTAACACCCACTTTTGACGATTTATGTTATGAGTCCCATGTAATAGGGGCTGAGCCTATTGCCATATACCGGGCACATTTCCAGACTCCGTTACTCTCGTTACTACTGAGAATTTTTTAAAAAACTTAATTCAGTCAATTATTTTTAAATAATGTAATAGATTTTTAGTAAAAAGACAATCTCGTGTAAAATGCTGAGTTGCTTTGGTTATATGGCCTAGAGTCAATTAAGACAATCTATCAGATTTAATCAATTGATGATGCCTGAAACTGATCTACTTATGTTCATGATTTATTAAAATTCTTCGATTTCAGATATCTATTAACTATTTTAGAACTTAACAATAATAAGTATATATAAATACAGACTTAGCTCACGAAATTGTCGACATGTGGAGTGTGGATTCGGCTATCATTCATCAAAAGCCTCGACATCGATCTTAGGAGGCTGGCGTTAGGTGGATGGATCTAGGGCCTAATACAGAAGGCAGTATACGTACTGAACCGACAGCAGCCTCAAGGATGAACATAGTTATGATGCCGATGGTGCACGAACTTCAGTAGGAAAAAGTTGATTATGAACTATCTTCATTTATTCTATCGAGTTACGGTTGTCATGTTTTCGTTCACATATAGGTAAATAAAAAAAAATATAAGTACATGTATAAGTGACACTTCTCTAGTTATTAGTAACTAGTTACTAAATAATTACTTAGTTACTGATGTGAGTTACTAATAACTAGAGACTGTCACTACGTTGCACTTTAAGTGTGGGAGAGCCATGCTTTGGCACGAATGGGCCGGCTCGACCGGAGTGATACCACGGCCTCACAGAAAACCGACGTGAAACAACACTTGCGTTGTGTTTCGTCGTATGAGTGAGGTTACCGGAGGCCCAATTACCGCCATCTCCAATCTCCCCAATTTTCGAATCTCCAACAATCCTTCAATTCCTAATCTCTAAAAGGCCGGTAACGCACTTGTTATTGTAACACCTCTATGTTTCGGGTGTCCAAAGGCGGCACCGATTGCTTACCATCAAGTGATCAGTCTGCTAGTTCACTGGCTTATTCCATAAAAAAACTATGGGATATTTATTTCTGAATCTATTTTCCAAATACTCAAAAGGAAATATCTAATTAAAGGAATATAGTTTCCCGTTAACTCATGCGTCATTGTTGACGTAGGTAAGGTAGATGTATCAGCATCAGCTAATGTTAGTCTAATGTAACAAGTCGTGTGAAAATGAAAGATGCAAATACATGTGTTTGATCTCCAAAACAGAGGTAAGCTTGGACGAATATCAAAGAACTCATATTTGATAGGTACACAATTCCTGTTTTGTTTGTAAATGTTGACAAACTCTATTTTGTTTAAAACACGTAAATAGGCAGACGTGCATCATATATTTTCTAGTCTAAATATTTATAACTTTATGTCCTAATCTATATTATTTACGACCGCCAAACGTTTTAAAAGTTATAATATAAAGTAACATGGTTATGGCCTGATAGGGTTCAAATTGAATGCTTTTAGCAACTGCTACATGCATGAGTCATAAGTAGATATTGAGTGCAGACTCAAAACATCCTTTTCGTTGCACTTTACAACCATAAGATTAGGCTCAATCAAGTGATTTGTTGCTCGCCATTACGAATGGTATTTGATTATAAACTGTGCGTACTAGGTGGATGCATGTATAATGACAACGTACGTACACATGGAGGCGGCATGCGTCAAGCTTCAGCAACCGGGCGCAGTACAAACAATCCACAAAAACGCTCAGGAATTTGGAATTGTGCCATCGATTTTTTTTCTTGTTAAAGATTAGAAAGAATCAACTAGGGACAGGTAGTAAAGTAGAGCGGCCAAAAATGTTCCGGTAATAGGTCATGGTTAACTCAAGATCTGTGACATTTTCTTATTGGGCAGAAGATTACCTGGCTTCTTAGAACTATTAGACTGTACATACATAACTTTATACTAGACAAGATCTTGTTTATGGAAACGACGCGCAGTGCAGTTCTCGTTCGATTGATCTCAATGAATCGATGCTAGTGGAAGATTTTAGACGGAAATGATAAGAAACATGGAATGTCTTGAACATATGCGGTCACTAAAATCTCGCAACATGTGTATTGCAAGATAATTTCGAGTTATGCTCGCATTAGACCGAATGCATGCTCGTAATCTCCACCGAGTTATTTTATTACACACTAATTTTATAGCGGCCATGATTGCCTTATAGCGATTTTGAATTAAGCCCATACTTGCGGCCTCAGTACATTATAATATATAACGTATGTATAAGAACTTGATTAGTGTGCATTGCACATGTTAGCTATCTTTTTATTTTACTTTTCCTAAAAAGTAGATACATCGAGGCAGGATGGAGATTTAATTTCTTCTTTAATTCAACTAAGTAATTACATGTTCCAAGCAATAATGAGTGGATGATTGTTTATATAAAAGTTCATGGCAAACTGATAGTTTACCATATCAAAATATCCATTCAATGGCAGACAAGATTTACATATATTTTGAAAATAATTCCTCTATTATTTCTCTTTCTGTTTATTTGAACTCTTTCATGGGTTACGGAGTCCGAGGATTTAGCCCATTTCATTGTCATTGATGTTTTTGTAGAAAGAAGAAGAAAAAACATTTATTCAGCACCAGGCACGATGCAGCAAATAAAATATAAAAAAAGACAATAAAGGTGTGTGTCAGTGGAATTAATAAAAACATAAGAGTTGAAAAATTAAAACAGAAGAATTAGAAGAGAGACACTGACAACATGCCTATGCTAAAAGGGTCACCCACTCAGTATAAGCTAGGCATACAAGTTACCCAGCACTGATTTTCAGTGGGCACCCATGCAGTGACGCAGTGTTGTATTTACCTGATCATAAGAAAATGTTATTATTAACCTCTTGTAACCAAGTGATGTTACAACAGGATATGATAAGTACTTGGGTGTACCTAACTAGTCGTGTCATGTCAATATTTGTAATTTAACTAGTGTCGGTAGGCAAGTTGGATTTAAAGGAGGTTGGTTCTACAAATCAATCACTATTGGAAATACCTAGGTACTACTAAGATACTCTCTATCACTACACTAACTAATAGGCAATGAATAGGTAGTGTGTTGATGATGGGCCACTGACCGTGACGACGGCGTGTTCCAAGTGGAGAGGCTGGGCGTGGACACGGTGAAGTCGTCCTCCTTCTTGCGCACGCCACCATGCTCCTTGTAGTCGCGGAAGCAACGCTTGCAGCGCGTCGGCCAGCGCACCTGCGGGTGGAACCCCAGCGGACATAGCGGGTCGCCCTTCGCCAGGGGATACAAGTGATGCATTCTCACTCAACACACACAAATGCACTTTACAAATGTCAAAGATTTCACCTAAATGCCGCTAACGAACAGTTCGTCACATTCCTCCTCTCACGCAGTCCATGCTACGTCTCGTAACATAGAATTGCACTCGATATAAAGGGAACTACGAATAATCACATACACACGCAAATGTTTATGGAATGAAATTTACGATTTTACTCTATAAATAATAATTTATTTAACAAGCAACGTGTTCAGGCGCTCGTACGTCTGCACCCAACAGTGGCAATAAAAATATCTCGCTGCTAGCACTGAACCGGGCGACCTAAATCGGCTGCTCTGAACTCGCTTCTAATTCTCAAACTCCGTAGCCGCGTAAACACAAACGCGGTATTATCAGTGGAAGTACGAGGCAACGCTTTGCGGCGTAAGCTCTGGGCACTAGGGTGAGTGCAGGAGCGGTCGGAGCAGCAGTTCAGTCATGTAACGCGCAGTAGGAGCGGGAGCGGGCGGCGGGCGGCGGGCGGCGGCGGGCGGCGGGCCGGGCGGCGCTGCGATACTGGCGCGCGGCGGGCAGCGCGCCAACCTCCGCCGCGCCGCCACTCCACTTATGTTCTATTACACCACACACCGCTGAACCACTGCCCGCCTGCTGACCGTCTATAAAAATAAAACAGACTTGCTAATAAAACGCGTCAGGGAACATCTCGGAGGGACGAGCCGGATACGTGACGAGTGACGTTGTGCCCAACTGCATTAGCTGCGCCAGCGCATCTTGCGATTAGATGTGCTCATGAGAAAATCTTACCTCATATGTAGACATTTTTAAAATAAATATGGCTCCAGGATGATTGTTTACGAGTGTGGAATTTCGCGTTACCGATAATAGTTGGAGGAGTCAATAATAACTTTATGAATGGGCGTTGACGTCAAAGCGAGTATTTTTCATTGCGTAGGTAGGTGTATACTTATCCATACGTCTGAAAGTCAGATGGAAGTGTAAATAAAAGACAGATATTATAGTAAAACTTTAATAAATCCGGTATAAAGAAAAATATTTTGTAATAGGTATGTATAAACTAGGTGTAGGGGGTTAGGATATTTTCTATTTACCGTAATATTAACTTAGTCTATGATATATTCACATAATTTACACTCTGAGACGTTAAATAAATTCGAATGATTATGCTGTCATTGTGCTTGGGACGGTACATTGTTTAGAAGTTATATCTTTGAACACAGTGGTAGGTACTGACGGTTGATCCCAGTGTAGCTGATAGATAAGAACTAGGTGTAATATACTTAAAAATATTTGTTGTAGAATTACATACTTGTCATATAAATGTGAAGAGAGAAATACAAAGGCTTACACAATGATATGTTACGTTAGAAATTATTGGTTATTCTTATAAATGTACTTTGAGCATGTTAGCAGAAGTCGCCTTGGTTCAAAGGTTCGTCTTCCTTCTTGTCGTACACCAACGTTTTGTATATGACCTCTTCGAAGTGTAGGGCATTCAAGCCTTTGGGCTCAGCTACTTTGATTTTGACATCGCCAGGGTAGAGGATCTCTCCCTTGTTCTTCGTGCAGCCCATCACGAGCGATTTCTGTAGTTTGTCAATGCAGGGGATCTCTGTAATTATAAAGGTATTTGTTAATACTAACAGAAAAGATAACAAAATTATTTAAATAACGGAATAGTTATGGCAGTTCTTGAAGCCTGGAGCTCAGAACAGATTATATTCAGCTTAAGGGAGATGTAGAGAGAACAAGCGTTGCACAATGGCCTATTTGTACGACGCAGAGCCAGTACCTTCTTATAGGTGCCAATGAAGGCCACAGGGTTGGTTTTAATAAGGTAAGAATTGCACAATTCTTTCTTCCTAAAAGCTAGGCACCTTTTGAAGATTCCCCCTTTATCAAAGATGGGGTTTGTTCAAGTACGTTCTTGGTTTTAGAAAATGTAGGTTCCTTGTGAAGTACTTATTAGTACTACTGCAATATCTAGCGATATGGTGTGGTGAATGACATTTATGCATTAGGTAAATATTTAGCAAAATATCTGGATAGATCCGGATTTATAAATTCATTTACATGGCTGTGTTTTCTACATATACTATTTTTTATTCTTACACTAGCTTCTGCCACTTTGTACACGCAATCTCGTTTCTCCCATTCCCGTAGGATTTTCAGGACTTTTTTCTGTCATAACAACCTTCTCCTGACGATCAGGCTCAGGCAAATCGGTTTAGCCGTTCTCAAGCTATGGCGTGACAACGGGAAACGGGTTTCATTTTTATATATATAGATAACATTATGGACTTATGTATGTAACATACTTATACGAGCAACTTGGATACGCAGATACGCTTCGATATTATTATCTGAATACAATTTTCCTTATTTACTTACTGATATAATATTGTATGAAGTTAATTATTATAACTTTGTTGCTTATAACGTAGCTTGGAGTATTCTTTGCGGAGAATGCAAATTATGTTATGATCAGTTTCATTTATTTATTTATTTAAATGAAACGTGGACTAAAGCTGGTGTCCTATAAAATGCTTTCTAACTATAATCAAGTGGGTTCGATTTCCAGATATCAAGTAGTACCGGGTACCTACTGGTCGGTTTGGACCAGTAGGTAGGGATTTGGATTTGGATTTTGGTGAGTAATGCAACTAATTTACGTTTCCTTCAGCTACTACTAAGAGAGTAGTGTAGTAGTACTGAAGACTTCCTCCTTAAAATTTTAAATTCATTCTGTCAAAATGTGAGCAAAGCTGTCCCTGAACCGGGGTTGCGAGGTAACCATATACCGTGGCCCCGGCACAGGGTAGGAGTTGGAATGGGGTGGTAGCACTTTCATCGCACCTCACCCAGATTAGGAGGAGGTACTTGATGCCTATATATCCTTACAAAAAAGCTGTAAGTACCTGAAGTAACGACTTTTTTGATGGGCGTGCCGAGTGCGTTTTCGATGACGCGGACATCTCGCACCAACTGCTGGAACTCAGGAGGGGTGAGGGAGCACACGTGGTCGGTTCCCTTCATCGTCTTCTCCAGGGTAATGTGCTTCTCTAACACCTGGAAACAGGAAATAAAAATGTATTAAGAGTGATTTAATGACAGAGTTAATAAAACTTTTGGGTCTACTAAAGAAAGGGAGATATTTTATATTTGTACTAAGTTGTGGGCAAAAATTAAGGCTATAACATAACATCACGCCTTTAATTCGCGAAGGGGTAAGCAGAGGTGCACATAACGGCACTTAATGATACAATGTAACATTTACTTTTCACTATTTATGTTATGAGTCTCATGTAATAGGGGGTGAGCCTATTGCCAAATACCGGGCACATTTCCAGACTCTGAGCTACTACTGACATTTTTTATAAAAAAAACACCCCGTTGTACTTTACCCTACCTGGGAATCGAACCCGAGACCCCTTGCCCGGCAGTCGCACTTGGGACCACTCGGCTGACAGATTTGTTTATTTTTTGTTTTTTATTTTTATGGCATAAGCCGGTAAACGAGCAGACGGATCACCTGATAGTAAGCAATCGGCGTCGCCCATGGACACCTAGAACATCAGAGGCGTTACAAGTGCGTTACCGGCCTTTTGGGGATTAGGAGTTTGAGGATCGTTGGGGATTCAGGGATTGCAGATTGGGGTAGGGGAGGGTAATTGGGCCTCCGGTAACCTCACTCACACGAAGAAACACAACGCAACCATTGCTTCACGTCAGTTTTCTGTGAGGCCGTGGTATCACTCCGGTCGAGCCGGCCCATTCGTGCCGAAGCATGGCTCTCCCACACTTTATATTTCAAAACAGTTAGATGGTAAAATTATAGGTAAAATTATGATAGTGATGCAACAGTCAACGCACAGTGCAATACCTACGTGATGTAAAATATCAGATATATATTAAAGCCTAAAGGTATGTATGATGTAATGTAAACAATGTAGTTTTGAACGCATCGTTGACCTTGCAGTCCCAAGCGCGACGACCTGGCTTCATTCCAGGGGTCACCAGATTACATGCAAATTTCTATTTTGGAATTATTTATTGTAGCATGTATCTCAGAAATATGGCTGGTCACAAGAATGGGCAATAGACTTATAACAACACTACAGGTACTGCGCCTATCCTAAAGATATCCTTCCTTGAAACTTCAAGCCATGTCTATAATTAATAATGTTAAGCATTCCAAATAATAAGTCTAGGTACAAAGTAAGTATGTAGGTATAGGTACGAGAAATCAGATAACATCTTTTAATACTTCATTGCAGAAGTAGAAACGAAGAAACAGTCATTAAATTAACCATTAAATTACAAGTAATGGTTAATAAATTAACGGCAAATTGCTATTTACAACATTAACATTACAAATCATCATGACATTAATAAATTGCGTCGAAGAATGCAAATCTTTGAGTGTCTTTGTTGGTATTTATGTATGTTCTTCAGACAAAGGAAAACTTTAAATTATATTTAATATACCTAGCACTGTATGTACATCATGAACATCATAATAAAATGTTATCGCGAGTGGCCACATAATTTTGACATCTCTTCGATAAACCGTACTTTATTATCTAAACACACTATCTATATTAAAGTAAACAGAAACAGCGCACGAAATGCAAATACAACATGAGTTTGTAAACGAAAACAGACGAGTAAAAATTGGGTAAGTTGTTATGTTTTGGGTATTTTTCTACAAGATAGGTAAACAGATGAAGTTTTCAAGGAATTTTCCAGTAATAAGGCACTTTATTATGTATGTCAATAAATAAAAAATTAACGTGGACTTTTTTCTTATGTTGCTTCGTGTTTCCGTCACGTGCCGATCGTGCATAAAATTGAGACCTAATAAGGTTTGCCACATATGGAAACAGAGCTCAAAATATAATAGAACCCAGTTTTGGGATCACTATTAAATACGAACATAACATCACGCATTTTATTCCCGAAGGGGTGGGCAGAGGTGCACACAAAAGTAACACCCACCCACCCGGGAATCGAACCCGAGACCCCTTGCCCGGTAGTTGCAGTCGCACATGCGACCATTTGGCCATCAAGGCAGTGTTAAATACGATTACACATTAATTACGTACTTATTAATTATGCATTTATGGATTGCAAAATCTTAAGAACATAGTGAGAGTGTGGCTAAACGTCGACCTATCAAATAACTTACTTTCCATATTACATTTGGAGAGTGAGGGGTACCTACTTAGTAAAGATAAAAATGAGCAATATTTACCTTAGCTCCCAAAGCAACAGACGCCAATGCTACAGCAGTGCCGATCTCCTGTCCAGAGTACCCGATAGGGATGTCAAACGTGTTCATATAATCTTGAATCACAGTCAAATTGCAGTCTTCATAAGGAACGGGATACGCTGAGATACAGTGCAGCAGACAGAAGTTCTTGTGTTGCGCCGAAATTATATCATAAATAGTTTTCACCGCAGACTTATCAACCATTCCCGTTGATATAATAAGAGGGACCTGTTTTGATGCGGCATATTTTAAGAACAACAAGTTGTTCGAGTCACCCGATCCAATTTTGATGAATGGTACCTTCATGTTGACTAAGAAGTCGAAGGAGACCTGTAATATTATGAAGATTTTCGATTAATGTTTGTCTATAAAAATACAAAATGTGATAGAATAGTGTTTGGTTGATATTTCTAAAGTGTCTTTTTTTACTTTTACATATACATATACTCAATTTTTACATATACATCTTTCTCCAACTCATTAAGTTTACAGCTGCATGTATATGCAGCTATACTTGGTGTATACCAAGTCAATAAAAACGCCAGGATATTTAAATTTTATCCGAGTTTACTTTTCACATATCCACAAGGTGGGAGGCTAATCTACTATCGTCAAAGTAAATTGAAACTAATGCCCCTTTCACTTAGAGTGTAAAATCATTGTTTAGTAGATCAAGAACACCTGTTACTATGTTACCAAGCACATTGGCCTTATAGGTAGGTACCTAAGTAGTTATTTAAGAGCATGAAGCGTGAAAGTATTTTCGTGTACCTGTCTGCGACCACAAATTGCTTACATATTTTAAATTATTTGCAAGTAATATAGGAAGCCAATTCTGATAGGCACTAGTGATAAAGTTCCGTGTCAGTATTTACAAACGATCATTGGCCAATGAACTATTTGATTGACTTAATTGGGTTCATCAAGTATCACGAGACCAAATTAAAGACTTGGTTATAAAGTAGGTACAAAGATAACTCACCATATCCATAGCAGAGGCCGTGCATAGTATTCCTACTTCATGTGCGTATTTGAATAATTCTCTGTACTGGCTCTCTGAGAATTCCAAATGTCTTTTATGTTCGCCATAAGTCTTGCCCCAAGAATTGGGGTTATCATATGGCCGCTCTAAGTATTTCTTTGTGAATTTCTCTTTGAGACAAGTCTTTTGAAACTTGACACAGTTGGCACCTGCATCCTGTAATGTCAATTAAGAAACATACAGCAACTATGTAATAGATAGTTAGTCACATATTGCTTCAGTCAGCTCACAATCCGTTTAAAACTTTATCCAATTTGCTGTTTACAGTGATAAGTAAATCTTATTAATCAGGACTTGTATACTTGTGTATATTGTTTGGATGACATCATCTGCACAAACAGATTAGTGGCAAGTTTTACATCATGATATAATCCAATACTAAAGGTGGCTAAGCTGTGCAATCAAAAATATTACTGATTACAAAACAATTAACTCGGGTGTGACTTTTAACGCAACAAGTAATATCTAGTCATGTAGCTATTGCATGCATCAAAATGTGGTTTGCATAGTACAAGATACTTAGGTATTCAAGGTTTAGTAATCTATTGACAAGTGTCGCAACACAAAGCACTCTTAATATGCACAAGTTTCAAGTCCATGGAATACTTGAAGAAAAACGATCACTCTTTGTTTTGTTTTCAACGTAAACAAAGCGAACAAATGTTTTCCGGGCACAATTGTTATTGGAAATGTGGCTTACCTTAGCTGCTTTTATTAACTTTTTTGCTATTTCAATATCTCCTTGGTGGTTTTGTCCGACTTCCGCTATGATGAAGCACGGATTGTTGCCGCCAACTTTGACTTCGTCGTTAATCTTCACTTCTACCATGTTGACTGTCACGCTCGTTCCATAAAAACAAACAACGCGAAACCGGCTTTCGGTTCCGACTGCGCGTAGGGTTTACACTGGCACTATGCAGCGAAGGTTTATCGACCTCTCGCTCAAGATCAAATCGGATAAATAAGGTCAATTCAATATAAAAGCGAGCAGCTCGTTGCGCGGCGGCCGCTCGAGTGTGCGCGCCTGCGCCGGCGGCTTGTACCCGCACCCACTCCGCATGATAATTGATAAAACCTGTAGGTATGTACAACATGTGTACGACGTTCATGACCATGGTGACCATGACATGTCCATGGTGAGGGCATAAAATACACAGACAGTATCTCAAAACATTGTTTATTGCTAATAAATTGCATTTCTTAAAATTATTACAAACAAAGAAAATAATTTATCATTTTATTAGTATATGCATGTAGGTATTTACAAAAGCTGTCGAGTCTTTGTTTTCGATTTGCGAATGTTTACATTCTCCAGTTACAATGATTCACGGTCAAATATCGCATGAGGCTATTTTGACAATATCACTGTGATTTTTAAACCTATCACTTATAGCACGGTTGACTTTTGACTCGGTAGGTTTGCCGAGGAAGTTGGAGATGTATCGTCCGGCCTCGATGAGTTTGACGAGGTCCACGTTGGTGTTGACTCCCAGTCCGTACAGTAAGTAGACGAGGTCCTCTGTGGCGAGGTTGCCACTCGCACCGCGCGCGTATGGACACCCGCCCAGCCCCGAGATAGACGAGTCCACAGTTTTTATTCCAAACTGCAAAAACAAGTTATGCTAAGAGGCTTGTCTGATGACGTAACAAGAGCTATGCGAATGAGCGCTGTTGTTAAGAAACTGGTAAATAACATATTATTTTTGTATACTTTTACATCGTATCCAGCTGTTCCAGATAAGGACTGATAAATGTTATCTGCGACAATGGTAACTAAGTCGAATAAGTGTATTTATGAGTTTGAGGAGCTGATAAGTAAGATTCTAGAATTGTTGTTACAAATTACTAAACGATGCGAATCCCTTTGTGATGATGTCTTGCGAAACCATACAATTTAAAATTACTTGTTACTTTTGGTTGATAAGCAGTATAAACACATGAATTGAAAACAATTATAGAGGTATAGACTCAATATCATCACGTAATATTCATATTCATGAATATAGTATGTAGGTAAATATTGTTTTATTTTATCATACAAAGACTGGAACGTGAAGGTTTTAAATTTATTTATCGTACAGGGAAAATGGACATTCCCTATCCACCTATTGTTTGCCATGTAGCTAATCGTTTGTGGAACAATTGCTACTATAGAGGTATACATATTTGTACACCGCCGCAATCATAGCGACTCGCCCCGATTTCGTCACACGAATTTAATACGCTGATAAAAATTTCATCTTGAATTCATTGAGTCTAATATGTATTTGACCTTAGGTCACTTATGTACGTATTCAACTGACAGATATTTAGATCTATAAGAATAGATTTCAGATTGTTTTCTCCAAGGCCTTATAGATAAAAAAGTATGTGTAGATTTTTTGTAACTCGTCTCAGGCCTTTGTGTCCCTAAATCACTATAATATTACCTCTAATCCAGCCACAAGGTTTGATAAAGCCTGTCCATAGGTGTCGTGGAAGTGTAAAGCAAGTTGTTCAGGCTTTGCGACGGTTAGCACTTCTCGCATCAGTCGTTTGACGGATCCCGCTGTTCCCACGCCAATGGTGTCCCCCAAGGAGACCTCATAGCACCCCATCTCGAACAACTGTTCTGTTATCTGTAGCAATAGTACAATTTGCTTTGAAATATATTACTAAATTCTCAAGTACGGTCGGTAAATACTGTCTATGTATTTTTAACGAGCTCATATTCAATAAGTCGTTATTCTCAAGCCCCTTTTGACGATGCTTCGTGTTCATCATAAACACGAAAGTAATAAAAATATTCTCAGAATACAAAATGTTTACCCACACTAAGGTGTCAGATATTATACCTAGTGTTGGGACGATAAGGACTTTTAGTGCATCAGTATTTCTTTATGAAAATAGATACCAGCTGTTTATTTATGGAATTTACGTATTATGCAAAAAAAATGTTTATGTTAACAACGAAAAAGTTGCAAGAATTTTAATTTAAACACACATTCGCATTAAAACCGCCAAACATCTGCTATTATTGTGAATTTATATTCATATTGAACATTTTAATTACAGGACACACTGAATCATCATGAAAAGGCATACTGGATATAGGTACTACAAATTACCAAGTAATTTGAAATGAGGAAGTACATGATCCTTGCATTATAATGCCCAAACTGTCTTGAATGAATAGACAATTAATTACCTTCGCGATGCCTTTCGGATGTATGGGGCCTTCATAGGGACAGCCAACGACGCAGGATACATAGCCTCTCACTCTGATACCATCCTTCACAGCTTGATCAGCTACCAACTTGAACCTCTTCAAACCTTCTTCGACAGAACAGTTTAAGTTCTTCTGAGAGAAGGCCTCTGATCCAGCTGGGAATATTGCCACTTCTTCTATGTTGCATTGTTTCTGCGTAAAGAGTGGATTAATTTAGATATATTCTAGGTCTAGGACGTTACTGTAATAGGTAATGAAATCTTGTGAGTAGTGAAAAGGATATTTCATTAAGTCGTATCCTTGAGAATAGTTATATTGTTTTTATGAAAGAATTTATTTAAGTCTGTTACATAAGAAGGAAACAAAGTCTTACTGCAATATCGTATCCTTTTAAATTAGGCACAAGCACCGGGTAGTTTACTCCTGGCACTCTCGGGATGTTCTTCATAACGTCCACACCGTCGCTCATTTGTTTCACCCATTTTGGACTAACGAAACTGTTGACGAGGTTGACAATTAACTGTATGTTACAGTTATTAGATATTAGATGAAATGTTGGATGCAAATATACTAGTCACGTGAAATTTTCCATAGTCGAAAATTGCAGTATATTTTCGAGTACCATCACACCAGACCAAAGGTCTTCGATAGTTATTTGATTGGCTAAAAGAGATAACATTTTAACTAAGTACATTATGAGCATGAGAACTAGAATGAGAACAAGCGTTAATTAGTCTCTAATGATTGAAATCGTGGAATGTTTTTTAACCCAACGGCTTGACGCGATTACGCGACAAGCACGATACGTTGTTGCTACGACAGTGAATGTGTTTAAGTGGTTTAAACAATGAGAAATTTTATAATGCAATCGCTACACGACGCCGTCGCGCCGTAAGAAATTAATTAGGCCACCTACCTTCTAGCTACATGGCTACATATGTAATTTGACTAACTATTAATAAGTGTAAAAAATATATGTGATATAGTAGTTAGTTTACTAAATAGTAGGGATATTAATTTACATACTGTAATAGATAAATAATTAAATCAGCATGTACAGTCTCTTCGATTTCTTCGATCACATGTGCAATGCAAGATCGATTGAAAGAAAAAAGTTAAGGACACACCGAGAGGAGGATGCATAAGCGCTGGATTGAAATTCACATCATTTCTTTTCTCTTTCATAAAATCTATTATTAATGTTTTGTTTTTATTTTCACTGTATTTTTTATTTGTATTGTAATGATCCTTGTCTTCGTGTGCCAATGGCCAAATAAATGTATTTTCTTTCTTTCATTACTCCTGGCATGGCGTTTATCCGACTAGACTGACGTTGGCCAAGGTTGACGATGACCTTCTGCATGGCGTAGGTACCGCGTAACCCATCAAGTAACTTGGACAGTAAAAGCTTAAACATCACATTCCTCGTTAGTTTCCGATGTTTTTGGACTCTGGGGACTAGCCGAAGACTCGCATAGTCGACCGATTATGTGAAATCTTTGCCTGTCGATTTTTAAGGACTGATACTCCTGAATTTTCAGACTGCATGGTAATGCCAAACTGTTAAGCGCCACTCAGACATTGCGTGATATTGAACTACCTTTAGACAAATAAGTAAACTGGAACATGCTCATTCCATCTGACATGGGACCCGAATGGAACATGGAACATTAGTCATAACTGGAAAAAAGTGAATTTTACTTGGTAATGTATATATTGCTTGATTTAATGTTACATGGATTTATATAAAGGTTACAAACAGAAAACCTTCATCAATAATGAATACTACACTGTATAAGATGACCACAATCGTTATTAGTTTAAACTGTCAAACACCAAGCGGTCACCGGTGACCGCAACCTATTGTTCTATAATTGTGTCTACAAAACCGGTACTCGACGAGTTAATCTGTCTGCTAAGTTCATTAAAGCAAGTTTGAGTATACAAATGGTTGCTTAACACATAAGTAGGTACTTCAATGCTACTGTTATATGATATCTATCATTGGATTTCAATAGCCCAGAGCTGGTGAACCTTTATGTATCAAAATGCTGTGTTTGTTGAGGTCATATTAAGTGGCATGAAATACTTTTGAACTTTTGCAGTAACTTGTAATTACTGTGAGTAACAAAGCCTACTGTCCCTTTTATGGTAAGCTGTCACCATAGCCTATGTAAGAACTAAGTGACATGCCTAAAATATTATGTTGCATGCCCATGGTTCATAATCCCTGCAATAGCCTATATAACTGTGCCTATTATATCTCTTGAATAACAGATTTGGCAATTAGATTCTACCAGATTTAGGGGCTTGTCCCTGTTAGTTTAAACTCTACATAATTTGAATGAAAAATATTATGTAAAATTATCCAGGAGTTACACTAGAACCTTATTTAAACATTTTCTTCATTCATTGTCTTTTATATCATTCAATCTTATTTTAATAGGTAGCTTAATTTAATGTAAAGTGACTAATTTAAATTTTAATACAGTGGTGTAAAACATATAAATATACACATACATTTTCTGATAACAAGCCTAGTATAGTGTACTGCCATAAACAGGTCACTTATTTGTAGTTTATAGTAAAAAAATATATTATTAGTGGTACTGGCCACTCATGATTTTAAATTAAGTGAAACATAGGTACCTTGCAGACTCAATGTCTTTTATTCCAGCAGCTGCCAATTTATTTATTAGTTCTATTTTAATATCTGTGGGAACAAATTTAGCTTCATTTTGAAGACCATCTCTCGGGCCCACTTCATAGATCCTAATCTGAGATACGGCTGTGCTCTGAAAACATAAATGAGTTAACATTTAATGAGTTATTATGTTGTTGAACTTACACTTACGAATAGGTTAAAACTCTAATTAATTTTTGTGCAACTTATTATAATTTCGAATTTAAGCCTATTATGCTTATCATAGAGAAACAAATATTAAAAAGAAATTACACAATGTACTTACAAGACAACGATGTGTTGACTTATTCAGTATTTTAGAACTAATTGTTTTTGTAATATGAGCCATTTTTCTGTTTTTACGTAACTTTAATTAATTCCTGCAAGAGTGTATAGTCATCTACTAGTGGTCTGTTATCAATCATTATCAAAAGTTGGATGTCAAGCAAGATTTTCTTGTTTATTTTACTTTTCACATAGTTTTGACTTTTGATAACAAGTTTGAACTGTCATACTGATAACACGAAACGGCGGAAACGCGAGGCTTGGAAAAAAGACTAGTAAAAAAAATCAAATTTTAAGAACCTTATAAAATTATTAATGATCGCTAGTCCTTAGTTAGTCCGTTGAGTAAAAAATCTTTATTTAATAAATGCTTCCGACGTTGTTTAATATTTATATTTTGTATTATTAAAGTGTGGAAACTAAACTCAATGAAATGTGGCAGTTCGTTTGCTTGGCTCACTTGGCTGTCACTGTCACTGTCAAACTAACACGGTTATTTCATTGCGGCGTTTCTTGTTGCCGAAACCGAAATCTATCATAAAATACATTGAATATTTATTAATCTTTATAATGGGTTGAGTATTAAAATTAAACAGTACATTTATTTTCATTTTCTAACCATAACATGCATACATTAACGTAAGTTTTCCTCATTTCAGCGGTGAACAGTGCCACGTCCTTCGTGTTATCTTCAATTTTGACTCTCCTCATATTTTCGGGGATGCAGATGTACAAACCGCTTTTGATAAGGTCACCAGTGACTATAATATTCGGTGGCTATCTCGGTTCATTGATGTTCATGTTCTTCGTTACAGTATCCTTTTCTAAACCAATGCTTGATCTATGTTGACTATTTGTCTAATAAGATTGTTATAGGTACAATTTATTCGTCTAAGATTTTTAAATAATAAAGTAAAAGTAACATTTCTGGATTACCTACCATATAGATGTAAATAAATGTTCAAGTGACTTTATAGATGGCACATGTTTTCTCTCTTTATTTCAAAATTTGCAAAAATATAATTTTTCTTTGTTTACATTTAATTCTTAAACAATATGACTGTCGTTTATGAATTTGTTTCCTTAACATAATTCCACAGGCTATAGGTAACTTAGAAGCAACATTATTTGGCAAGAACTTCCAACTGAAGTTGCCCGAAGTAGTCATTTCTATGGCTATTTCTTTAATCGCTGCTGGTATGGTGCACAGAATCTGCTTCACTACATGGTAACGCTTGTTTTATTATTTAGAAAAAAAAATGATTGCATACAAGTACATATAATTCAGTTAAAGCTATAAAAGAAACTACAGCAAAGAATATTATGTACTTAGAACAGTCAATAATCAAACATAAAATTAAGTTAAAAAAAGTAAAAACATAAAATTTTTGCCATGTAAAAAAAAGTGTGATGTAAAAACATGACCTGGATGAGCAGAAGTGATTACCTATCCAATAAAAAGAACAGACTGACCCTGATGTGCAATAAAAATATTTAACCAATTGGTAAATTCAATGTCAAATACAGTAATTGATTAAATAATTAGTAATTCAATTTAAATTAAGAATTAGACAGTTTATCAGACTGCATAGTAATCCCTGAGGAAGGCATTTGTGTACTGACATTACAGTTCATCATCATCATCATGATCAAACTGAATCTGAATTCTTGGTTTTCCAGTCTTTGGACAATCAGTGTTCAGATCACACAATTTAATTTTCAACTCTGAATGTACCTCTAGAGGTGTACATAGACTATGTAACACAACTTTACACTAGTTATATTATTCTTTTTCTCCACATAATAAATAAGTGGTGCGCGACAGAGGCAACAAAAAAAGCCCTATAATACTTTGTCCAGCCTGGAAATCATATTCTTGCTCGGCAGTCGCACTTGCGACCACTCGATCAAGGAGCTATTTTATATGCAAATACGTAGTTATAATAACTGTATTTTATTTATTTATTTATTTAAGACTTCATGCACACACTAATGTACAAGGTGGGCTTAATGCCTAGGGCATTCTCCTCCAGCCAGACCTTTGGGTGATGCAGAGACAAAAACAATGTAGACATTAGATTATTATGTAGACTGCATCGTTGGCCGAGTGGTCACAAGTGCGACTGCCAGGCGAGGGGTGTCTGGTTCGATTACTGGGTCAGGCAAATTATTACTGGATTTTTAAAAAAAATTATCAGTAGCTCGGAGACTAGAAGTTATATGGCGACAGAAAGGAGTATGGTGATAGGCTCACCCCCTATTACATGGGGCTCATAACATTAATAGTGAAAAGTGGGTGTTACCTCTGTGTGCACCATTTCGGGGATAAAAGACGTGATGTTGTTTAGTTACAATAATTTTGTATTGTCGTTTCAGCTTAATATTCTCTCTAATAACAATCTACTACATGAACAAGTTATCACAAAAGACGTATGCGGCATCAGCCCCAGTTGCAGTGCCCACCAAGAGTCGACGCCACAAATGAATTGCTAATTATAAGTGATTTTTTATATACTTCCCAATTAAAATCATTTCATAAAAAATCCTTATGTTGTTTTCTTATTTCTCATCATCCTGCTAACTTTCTGTTCTAGTCTAGTCAGTCTAGCTCTAAATGGTGGTAATTCGACGTATTTTCTGTACGAAATGTTTCATCTTTATTGCAATGGCATAGGGTTGAAAATCTTAAGAAATTAAGTTGAAACTATTAAGGAATATCCTTGTATGAACCACGTTTTGAGGCTTAATTGTTTGTTGCATTAGTATCGACCAGAAGGGAATAAGAGTTAACATTTTTGTGCTCACTTACCGACAGTTGAGCTCATTGCGTCTCATTAGGGAGCAGGAAAATTTAAAATAACAACAATATTAGAAAAAAAAAGTTTATTGAAAAAATCAGAGACAAATGTAGACATTTTTATCGGATAGTATAAACTTACTTTCCTCTTAACTTTGTTTTAATAAAATTAACTTAAGAGTTAGTAGTTTACCCTAATTAGAAAAATAATTTATCTATTCAATATGCTTAATCAAATAAATAAATCTAGTAATAATCGTTAAACAAGTATTTCAATAATACACAAGGCCTTAATTTCTTATTCAATAATTGCTTTACTTTTCGTTTTATAAATACAATCTACTGTTAATTTGTTCCGTTCGCCTTTTGAACAAATATCACAATATTTTATAAATGGAAGATTGTTAAAAACATTTTAAGTATAAATCAACATCTATTCTATTTACCTACCTACTTTAAATAGATAAGTCTATGACACAAAATAAAATTATAAATGTTAAACAATCCTCAGATCCCCATGAATCAAAAATAAGTATTTGTTACAAGTATGTTTATGTTAATAAGTAATACTTCAATGTTAGTTAAACATAAAATGTATATATATCAACAAAAACAAAACTACCTACTAATTTTTAATTATTGCACTAAGGCATTTCTTACAAAATAAGTTTCGATTTACGTAAATATATGAAAATATTATATGATTTGCACTAAAAAATACTTTATATAATATGCATGTTAATGCGACTATAATTAAAGAAAAATATTTTTAGACTAAGAAATAAATAATGAACAACCTCATGGAATTAAATTTGGATGGATTCTTTAGGTACAACATTTTGAGTCTTGTTAGGTTTGTTAGATTTTTGAGCTATCTATGTGTCTTCACAGTCAATGGCTTAGTCACTTATTTATACACACCTATGACTCATGTAACATGTGTCATGAGGATTGTAAGATAGATTACCAGTGTGAACAAGCAATAAGCATTATGTTTATAAGAATGACAGAGATAGTTTTGACCAACAAAAATTCTTTCATATATGATTCCAACTAATATTTCCTAATTTAAATGAATAAGAAGCACACACAATATCACAATCATTTTGATGTTCAATCACCTTTCCTATTTTTGAGGTAAGTATAATATAAAACAGAACTTCTTTCTCAGTTTGGCACCAACTTTAGTCAACCAGTTATTGTATGAAAGTGAGAAGTATATTTTATAAAATTAATGGCAGTAGGCAACTGTTTCTCTATTTAGTATTTGACTATTAAAAAATAATTTTACACAGATTAGGTACTTCAATTACAACTAAAATTTATATAACAGTACTATATAGTAGCATATTTGTTATATTGACTTATCAATCATGACATGATTATCATCTTGATTCCCTGAGATTGGAAATAGCAGATAAGATAATATAAAACATGCAAAATTTCAGAAATATGAATCCAAATAAACCAAATTATAATATCTATCACAGACTTTTCAAATACATAAGGCACTAAGTTTGTATGTGATTAGATCTTCAGAGAAGTGAAAGTTGACGAGCATGTAGATAATTTAACTTTATTCATACACACAATCTCCACTAATTTTAATAGATAAGTGTCACTAGTGATTACCTAATACTTCACTGGAAAAACAATTCTTTCAATTATAATTCTTGTTCAACATAAATGGTATATAGCAACCTAAACAATGCTCAAAGAAAATTTCTTTAAACAATGATTATAACATAAACATTGAATACAATGAGGCATGCCATATATTTATCTTTGCAATCATGCAATTGATAACTTTATTGATTTTTTTAGGCAATTAGATAAAAATTATTTGTTTCTAATATGCATGCTGTTATTTCTAGTGTAAGGATTCTGTAAAATTCTTGGTGTAGTTTCCATTACTCTCAGAAGCAGTTCATCCAGATAGTTTTCGAGATCTTTATTTTTCTTCTTCTCATGTTCAACATCTTTTTGCAAGTTATAAACCATGACCATTAGGTCTTCTCGAGACTTGCCATCAAAATCCTTAACAATGGATTTAGGAATGTTATTGAATGCTGGGTTTATTGAGTCTTCCTCAGCGATATTCTCTTCTCCGACAATAATACGCTCTTCCAACAGTTTCTTCTGTTTGTTATTATTACCAAATTTCTTGAAGAACTTTGGACTAGGCCTCTCTTTCAAAGAACTTGGACTATCAAGTTTCTTGTTCCTTTCTAGACTTGAAGACTTTTCTCTATCAATAGCTAATTGACTGTTTGATTTTCGCTTAGAATATAGTTTCTGTGACCATTCATCATTATTGTCAATGACCTGTGCTGGTAGTTGTGGAGCTGTGAATGTGTCCAGGCTCAGGCGCACAGGCTTTTGCGGAGCTTGCTTTTCTGGTGCTGCCAAGTTACTACTAGTGGACCTTCTCAAGAATTCACCTCCTCCTAGATTTTCCAATGAAGCATTCACAGGTGAAGGTGTGTATTTATGACCTCGTGGTAAAGTCTGAACATTAAGTGAGCTTCCAGAGCTTTTATGAGATAAATCATCAAAAGCAAACTCATCATCATCCTCACTAATGACCCCAGGGTCTGCCTCTCCTGGCACACGTTTAGGAGTGGAATGCTCAGGAGTAGAGAATGTAGAACTCTTGAGATTCCCAATGCTACCACTTAAGGATGATGAGTCACTTTTCTTATCTTTCTTACTTAAATTCATTTTGGAACCAAGATTTTTAGCAAACTTCTTGATGCTTTTACGTTTCTCAATGCTACCAATGCTCATGAGACTGCCACCTACATTCTGCGCGATGCTAGACAAAGAAGACCTATGTTTATCTTTCTTGCTCAAATCAGTTAAGCTTCCTTCTTTAACAGTAAAAGCGATTTTGACTTCCAACTCGCCCCTAGGTTTATCATTTTCCTTTCCAGATTTTCCCTGCAAGGTATACCAACGGCTTCTTGGCCGCTCGTAAACATCGAGGTCTTTTAACGGAATCGATACTTGACCTAGTAAGTGGTCTTTTAATAGATCTTCGTCGTACACCTTTAAAACAATCTCAGCCGTATTTCCCTGCGTAGGTATACGTAATTCACATTCTTCAACCCATTCGACATTCTGGGTTGCTTTGTGTTTGACGGAAGTTTGGAATTTATCTTTACCGAGAGCGATCGTAACAAAACAGTTATTTGCACCATTTTTACCTTTGATCAAAAGTCCACGAGCCCTTTGAATAGTAACTTGAACATGAGTTGGATCCCACATCTTGGTATAAAGATTTAGATCACAACACTCCTAGCAAATGTTTAAAAACTTTAAAATTATCATCGAAAACAACGCAACGATGAGCTGTCGACCGTCACTTTAGCTAGCTCATTTACTTTTTAATTTCCGCGACGTTTCGTTTACCTTCTGCACGTAGACTCAGGTAAAGGTATATTTTTTTACAGCCTAAGTAGTCTAATTGGATTTTGCTAATTAAATTATAAAACATATTTGTGCTAATAACGAAATATTTCCTATTCAATTTTATATTGCCTTTTGTCTGGTCTAGTGACTAATATAATTTTAATTTCAATAACATGTTTGCCGATGTACATATTAGTTTCCTCGTCACAATCTAGATGTCTCTGTTGTAGTGACTTACACTTGCGTCTCTTGCGATTTACGATTTTCATGAATCGCAAAAGAATAAACTAAATCGTGGTAAGAAAGAAAGAAGAAGTAAAATGAGACCTCGTTAACTTTAAGATATAGCTCTGATTGGGGGTTAAGTGCTTACGAATTAATTTAATCACTTGAAACTTTGAAACATTGTTAAAATGCACACGCTGTACAAAATGACTGTCGAATAGACTATCTATATTTATAGATGTAGGTTGTTATTTATTTGTATGTTGATGAAAAAAACAACAATGTAATATCACGGATGCATTTTTTCTAAACAACTGATTAAACCTAGTAAGCACGCACCTACTTGTTTACCAGTATAGGGACCTAATGACATTCATTTTGATAATAGTGAAATAATAATTAGGTATGTACCTAGGTAGGTTGTGTGCGTCAATTTTAGGTAGGTACCTATGCCTCTACATATCTAGGCACGTACTTATGTAGTAAAGTAAAAAATACTGTAAATACCCGGAATCGGATGTAGGTAGGTAAGGCGGATGCAGACATTTACTTTATTGGTTAAAACTGCTTAGATAATTGAAATAAATCTTTGGAGCAGTGTAAATGCCTAGGAATAATAGAATAATAGGAAGAAGGCTCAAGGTTCGAGCCAGGAAAGCAACTTCCTATTTTAGTCCATTCACTAACAATGCATTTGTTTTTTAAGAGAACATTGATTTCGTAAATGCAAAAAACGAAGCGGAACTGTGTTTACCTAAATAGATAAAGTTTTAAGACATTAGTAATTACAGGTGTACAGATAGTGTATCTTACTAATAATATAAATGTAAAAGATTGTGAGTTTTTGTGTTTGTGTGTACCTATGTGTGTTACCCAATCAAAACGGCTGAACGTGTTCGTGATGAAATTTGGAACAGAGATAGATTATAGTCTGGAATAACACATTGGGTACCTTTTACTTTTTATCTCTCCCCTTTCATTATCCATCCTCTTTTTACTATTTTTGGTACTTTTTATCCCTCGGGAAAGCGGGCGAAGCCACGGACAAAAACTAGTAAGTACTTAAGTAGATAAACGTGGATAAGGAATTTGGTAGGTAGGTACGGGAAGGCATCATAGGCAAGGAGTTGTTTGTGCATGGTGAATTGACACCAATGTCGTTGGTCCTAGTGTGCAAATGTGATGGTTAAATTAAATGTTTCAGGGTTAATTTCTGGGACGATCCTAAGTCAAGACATTATTTTTTTATTCTTAGTACCTACGGCACTTAATTTCTAAGTGACGTAGATAATGTTGCTGCGTTTTGTTGGCAGCGCTCTAGTGATGCCTCTGGTTTTGTTGGTCTACCTATGCTGATGTGACGGCTTACTATCAAACGGCCTGTGCCTAAGCTTGTTTGCTATGATAGTAGAATAAAAAAGAAATCATTATTATCATCATCATTATAAACCCGTCACAGCTGTGCAGGTGCACCTAGGCCTCGATAATAGCACGTAGATATACTATATCTGCAAATACATATTTATTTGCAGATGTCACACATGTCCCTAGTACACAAAACATAGGTATGTTCCATATTCTAGTTACCTATATGAGATTTATGAGGAAACTAAATCATAATTATGATATCTATCCTCATGTTATTGTTAATACAATGCCAGAAATGCTAGATAACTAGGTATTATTGTTTTAAATCCGTCATGTATAATGAATCGATAAACAGGATATATATGTACCTAATTGAATACTTCGTCTATCTTTGAATATACCTCTAACCGTACATCTATGTTTGAAAATAACATTTCTTATGTGATAAATTGATAATACAATAAGTATATAAAAATTGGCTAACTGTGGCTTCCATTAAACATTAGTTACATTCAATATACATACCTACAACATTCAACTACTTATTTTAATATCCTAACCATATTTGTCTAATCAGTTCCTAATCGAATATTTTTTCTTTTTTTTAAAACGTTGCCCCACACTAGGATTTTCAAATCAAAAACGTACAAATTCACATAGAGGTACACATGACACCCAGACCGTAAAAAACAATTTGTGGATTACACAAAGTATTGTTCCGTGCGAGAATTGAACCCACGACACGCTGCACGGCAGCCGATTGCCCAGCCACCGTACCAACCGTGCAGTCGATGATAATGAGGCAGTCCCACTTCGAATTCCTTTTCAACTTATATTGGACTATTCTAAAGCTAAGAGTGGCCATTTGCCGCAAATAAATGGCACCCACCTAATTATAAGTCGCGCCACAGACCGCAGGCTACAAAAGTCGAACTGAAAATTAAATGAAGCTTTAAACTGGGAACAAGTTCACGTTACGATAATGATATTTCGGATCGGGATACGGATACCTGTATAAATAAGATCTGCTACCTATTTATATCAATTGGTTACGACTACGGACAATTAAAGGTCTCAAATTAATATAATTTCAAATTGGTTGGGCAAAGAATTGGGTATTGAGATTTCAGTTTTTCGAATAAGTAATACGAGTAAGTAGTCTGTAATAGAATGAGACTAAAAATTGTGGTCGGTGAGTAGCAATGGGATTATCTTCTATTAGATGGGGGTCATAACATAACTGGTGCATAAACAGTGCACTCTTACCACGTCCACCACCACGATGAATGACGTCACCTCTTTAAAAAATAAAGTAAGTTGCATTGCATCCCTTAATTTTGATTAAGGATAAATGAGTCGTCAGTCATTAGTAAGTCTGATAGAGATTGTCTAAATCGGAACATAACCGAAACTTTCACATCGGATTCAGTTACGGTTACGGAATTCAAAAACATTCATCTCTAGCCGTGAACCGGTAAAGTTATACCTCCTCCAATCAACAGCGTTCACGTAAATATTACAAAACAATTTGCTGTTACAAAGTTATGGGTCCATTTCATAGTTTGGAGAAATCAATTTATTACTTCGACTCCTGAACTTTGGTTTAAATTGCGGTTTGTAGCAAAAACTGGTACAAATTATCAACAACTAAAGCCAAAGTTTATTTTATAGTGTTTTGGAAAATTAAAGGAGGTAGAGACTATACCATGCCACAGAATAGAGTACCTACCTACCATAATGGAATATTTATAAACGGCATGGTCAAATTAATCAAAAAAACTTCAGACACTAAAATCATTAGTTATCCGTCAATGAAAAGCAAAGAAACAAAACCATTTTTGCATTTATAATATTTGCCAAAATATAGTGCACGGTGGATTAAGCAATACTTTGCTACCGCTCTTCAATTCAATCCCGCGATTCGACCAAAGTATGTAGATACTTACGGTCTACCTGCCATTAGGCTTTATAATTTATTACAATAGAGCTGAATCTAAAGTGGTTATTGAACCTAATTTTTGCATTGTTGTGCGATGTCAATCGTTTTTTTTGATAGGTGACTGTTTGAAGAAACTAGGTACTTGCTACATTTATCAACTTTTCTACTGTAGTTACAGATATCGATATGATGTAGGGACGTCACTATTTGTAATAGGAACAGAGCTTACTATTTATTTCCTTCAACAAGGTCTATTCTGATTATGTAATAACACCTTACCAGTCTACAAGGATATATGTCACGGGAAAACTATATATCATCATACATCACTGACCAAATTTTTCGCTTCTACTCGTACCTAATAAATTGTCCGTACTAAGGTAGATATTTTTTTCTGGTACCTTAGGTTTCTAAGTATTTATAATTATTTGAATATCTTTAGTAATAAATTCTTTTAAAGGTCATCATTCAATATTAATTTTTATTTCACTTTCATCTGAAAAGTGTCATTTACCACCAAGAATTTCGTTAACAAATAAATAAATTAAAAGGAATCGATGGAAAACCAAATCTGACTGATGCTATGAATGGTCCATTTTAATAACTTCTGTCTTCGACCAAAAGGGTAGCTCTTAGCCGTCAAGTTTCAGTATTAATTCTTAAGAATACGACACTAAATCAACTCAAAAGTTTCAGTCGGAAATGGAAAAGATTTAACTAAAACTGGAGACGTAATTAAGATAAGAAAACTTAAAACTTGGAGAGTATTAAAAGACAGAATTAGATCGATCGATCGTCATCCCTCGCTCAAACTAATAGGTATTCAAATATGTTTTTTTATTTTTATAGGATTTTTTTTTTAATTTTTTTTTAAGGGGAAAATCATCGAATGATTTCTCCCGTCTGGGTGAGGCGGGAGGGAGTGTACCTACTCCTGCACATCGAGCCGGAGCCACGGTAACCCGTTAAGTTCTCCGCGGCTCCGTATCGGATTCTCGTAGGTTACTAGGTATTTAATAGAGAGAATGTTGTTTCCCGGTAAGCAAGTATATTTAACTTTAATACTAAATCTCTGGTAAATAGAGAAGAATACTCTTATAGATAGAATACGTACATTCATTGTCGGCTACTAAAAACCAACAACCAACAATCTGAATGTTATTTCTCACGTTTAGGTGATATAAGTATTATTGCATAAGAAAGCAATGTTGCCTAGGTAACCCTTAAAGGGTTAGACATACTTACTATGTAACAAAAAGAAATATATCCAGTAGGTATAGGTTATACTCATAACACAAACCAAAACCATTTAGGTTGTTTGTTCAAAATAACTAATTAACCAACTTAACCACACATATTATAATATTCTCTAGTCATTCTTCAACAATTTGACAACAATGATATCAAGATTCCATTTAACTATGTTTGTGAGACTTAATTATCTAACCAAGTTACTT